AGTTTTATACTATACAAAATATAGTTACCCCAAGTGAATGCCTAAATATTCAATGTAAGGAGTATGTACCTTTTATATGGTATCACCATATAAAAGGTACATGGAAGTTACTGCACCCACACTGGAAACCAGTGTGGGTGCGCTGCTAAGGCACGGATACCTAGTACCTTACCTGCGGGCTAGGCTACCCATCATTTCAGGTAAGGCTTACTGTAATAGTAATGACAAGTTGCTGCCCGGGTGGATAAGAGGTAATAAATGTGTAATAATATTATCATTCATTTACCCCACCCCGCCATGCTGTTGCTGGCTCGTAGAAGTAGTCTTTCCCACCAATATTCAATGCCACATCTTAATCCACCTTCCTGAGCAACGTAAGTTGGATCATGTCGCCTCTAGTAGGAAAACTACTGATTCAGGTGCTAAAATAGAGAAATGGAACCATTGCCAGATGCTATTTGGGCTGATGCCTCGCAATTTTCTTGTAATTTTTCCAATGGCGCCATTCAATGCAGTGAGCTTCAGGGGCAGAGGGAGCTTAGGATTGCCATAGATGATGTGGTCTGCATCCTACCACATGCTAGCCAGGATGGAAAGAACTACAACATGCTCTATCTACGAAATGGTCGAAAAGAGGCGACGTCTGTTCAGCCGGGAGATTGTGGATCTTCTTTGGCAAGTATACAATTGGTTTCTCCACCATCGACACTACTATCACAATATTTCTGTGCGGAACTCCCCCAACATCTCAAGCCTTCGGTGGACCAGGCGATTGATCTTCATGTCATTATCTCGACTCCCTCAGGGACCGGGAAGGCAAAGAATTTCTTCAAAAACATTGTACAACCGTTCTTGGCACATATCGGATTGACGGAGTATGAAGTCCATGAGACACAATCAGCGCGATCTATACTCGAACTCTGTCAATCAAGGCTTATTGATCGTGCAAAACTCGGTTTTACCCAAACAATTATTCTTCTTTCTGGGGATGGTGGCCTGAATGATATTGTCGATGCATTCCATGGTGCTGTCGGTGTTTCACTCGTTCCTCCAATCGTCGCTCTGATACCGATGGGGACGGGTAATGCCATGGCAAGCTCATTAGGGCTGCTCTCTCGCCCGACAGAAGGCTTGACTGTCCTGCTGAAAGGGTCACCGAAACCTATACCCACCTTAGTCGCCAATTTTTCTCCTGGCGCGCAATATGTCACGGACGAGGGTCACACTCTGATTCCTATGCTTGATAGCTCCATGTCCAAGTCCTCAGTGAATTCAATTCACGGCGTGGTTGTCGCAAGCTGGGGTTTTCACGCTGCCTTAGTTGCTGACAGTGACACTTCGGAATATAGAAGGTTCGGAGCCGAGAGGTTCCAGATGGCAGCCAAAGAGCTCCTTTTCCCTTCTAGCGGCGTCGAGACGCACAGGTATAAAGGTAATATCACATTATTCCGGTCTAACATAGCGACCAATGAAAACTCCGTGGACACCCTAGAATGCGGAGAACACATGTACGTACTCGCTACACTCGTTCCAAGGCTCGAGAAAGACTTTCTCATCTCGCCGGAGTCGGTTGCTTTGGATGGCAGGTTGAGGATAATTCGTTTTGGCACCGTCTCCGCAGAAAAGGCGATGCAACTAATGTCTCTCGCGTATGATGGGGGGCGCCATGTACACGAAAGCAGCGTTCTCTACACGGAAGTTGAAGGCTTCAGAATCGATTTTCGTGAGGCTGAGCAGAAGTGGAGGCGAGTTTGCATAGATGGGAAAATCGTCATCATTGAGGAAGACGGCTGGATGGAAGTGCTGAAAGGACCTACGGGTCGCGTAAATATACTGGTTTAAAGGTTGAACACCATGTTCTCATCAAGTGATTTCCCAAATACTCGTCTTGACCTGACAAGGTGTCTTCAACGAGATCAATGATAGGGGGTGGTACCGAGGGCGACGAGTGCCCTCGATACATATCCATCAAAGACAATATTCAAATGACCACGGGTTGCGGTCTTCACTTACATCGGGTGTTAGGCATTCGTGTACATCCAGGCTGGCCTTGAGACTAGAAGCATATGGGAACATGTACTAGTCTGATTTACGCTTATTATTAATTCTCGAAATGCTCCCATACCTACTTTGTGCTATCTACGAGGCTACTAGCCACTTTTATGCAGTCTTCAGTAGCCCACTGGGCATGGCAGCCGCAATTCCAGGATTGAGCGGCAGTCAATGATTCTAGCCAGAAGTACAGCCGCACCTGTACAGAAGCGTCCTTACACAAAGTCAACCCAAGGTGACTAGGGCAAACAGAGCCTACTGCTCTTCGAGTTCGGGCCAGTGAACTTGTCCCTAATTGTAGGACGCAGTCGGGGCACAGGATGCTAATTATGGCGACAATGGCAATAATCTCTTAATCTCTCAAATGACGGGAGTTTCCTGACTCTGCCAGGTTTGTAAGCTTAATGATTAAGCAAGACATCTTAGTGAGCATTCAATCATAGAGGCGAACTATAAGCGCATAGGAAAGGCAAGGTGTTTAGGTAAATATGTTTAGTGGATAGCTAGGGTGCAATCCTGTTCTCTTGCCAGAAAATAGCCCGCACTATATTTAATGGGAAAAGCTGATCGCGCAATGAGTAATGGATCAGTAGTTAGCTAATATTGTATTCACAATATAAGCAACTTTGATGTCCCTAATGAATCTCACAGCAAGTAATGCCATTCATACTAGAACAATTCCACAACCTTCTCGTCATCATTCTGTTCAGACCCTTGTTGTATATGGATATCTGAATATGAAGAGATAGAACTTGTGCCTTCAATTTGAGCTTGGCTGGCAATTTCCTCTCCTTCCTCATCACGCATCAGCACCTGGACTAGCCTGTCACAGGCTTCGCGCACGCCTTCATCATCAACATGGAGATGGCATTCCCGGATGATGGGATACACATTGATAGCCCTCATTTTGTCACGACCTTCTCGTGTCGTTGTCAGCAGTAACAATGTCTCCAGGTGCGTTACAATGATGCTGTTATCACTATCCCTCTGCTTATCTGGGGGTAGCAGCTGCAGGTCTGGCAACATTGCCATTGACTCTTCCTCGCTGAATTCCTCCGGCCCTGTAATCGGCAGCAACACGTAAGGAAGTAGATTGGCTTCGTCTGCGCAGAGCAGAGTCGGATGAAACGGAATTTCGAAAGCGACATTTTTAATCGTTGACGCCACCCCCTTTCTCCGAACTGTACTTTCATGCTCAGTGAAGACAGTCAATTTAGTGACAGGGACAACACCATCATAATCCTGTCGGGTGGTAAAATATGCGCGTCCTGCCTCAGATTTGGAGAGATCGGCGAATAAATAGGAGAGATAATCAAAATTGGCCTTTTTATTTAAAGCACCCTCAGCGCCTTTCACGAAACAATCCATCAGTTGATCGATCGCCATAGTAGACGTGGAAACGGATTCGGCAGTCCTCCGTTTCAACGTAATGAGCCGGCTCAATTTATCTGACTTGGCGAGATTGGCGAAGAGCATAGCAATGTCATCCGCGATTGGTTCCTTGACGTCCTTTCAGGTTGACCGAGTTGTCAGCATAGACCCCGATCTCCTTAAGCGTCCCAGAAACAAGAGGCTGGTGTACTCACCGTTATCTTCACCATGAGAGTCTCTAGAAACGCATCATCTTCCGCAAGATTTGCCAATACTTCCTGGTCAGAGGAGATATTGATGAGAATTGTAAGTGCATTTTTCGCGATTGGCTAGTTAATTTCAGCAAGACCGTTCCCAAATTCGATATGTTAGAAGCTTATTTACTAACAGTATAATCTCGAACCAGAAGTTTGAGATCGCGCACTGGAAGAAGCTGATGACGTTTGAAGAGGTCCGATTGAGCGGTCGAGAAGCCAACGAGGTTTTCGCATGCTAAATTGGACGCAAGCGTTAGACCATTCAACTGATGTTTGAGTGTTCAGGCTCCCTGATCGAGAGGGACGTTTCTACCAATTTGTCTTATCTGAGTATTTCCATGGTGGAGGAACTCAACAAGCTGTATCCATGGAGAGATAAAGACTGTTAGCTTCCCTAATCCTTCCATTAAAGGAGTCCCCGATTCTGCTTGCTTTCATTGCTAAAGAGTTCCCTCTCATTCTCTTCCATCTGAAATTTCTTTGTTCCCATCTCACCAGCTAACAGTTAGGGACCTCGCAGACTCACCTCTTCTAAGACTGTTGGCATACTGAGGGGTAATTCCAGGGACCGGGAAAACAAAGAACAGACAATAGAGTCTATAGACTGAAGCTAAGACTTTTTGTTTCCTCCTTTTTCCTCTCTTTTCCCTCTTTCGTTGGCTGTTATTGCAGGTAAGTGGAGTGATACATGCTACCTTAGTATTAGATCTATCTACGGGAAAATTTTTGGTGCGGGGACTTTTCTCCAACGTCACTGGTGTGGGGTTATGAACTTATTATAACTTACCCTCCTCTGGTTATCAGGTACATAGTCCGGTATAAGATTGCCTCGCGCTGTTTCCTTCTTCAAATATAGGTTTGAATTTGAATATTCACTAATACTCGGCAGCTTTGCAAGCACACTTAATTCTTCCAGGATTCAAGACTCAGATGAATCCTAAATCTGACGAATCTTATCCCTTTTACTCATAAAAGCGGGTACAAGAAAACAACTCTAGGTAGCGTAGTGAATGTATGCCAGTAACTTATATAGGATCATCAAACTGATGAAACAGTATGGAGTCTTCATGTTCCCTCAGCAAATAGAAGCGCGTGGGGGTTGGTCACTCAGTAGTCAAGGTAAGTAGAAGTGGGCCGGAATAGTAATGTCTACAACTCCATATGTATGGATGGCTCATTACGGTAAAGTCGACCATTTGACAGACGAACTTTAACGGCGGGGCTCGAATTCATCAAAGAACATCCAGTCAAATTTCTTCCAAGGGGCCAGAGCCAACAAGTCATCTCTTCGCAGATTATAAAAGAGGGAAGAATAGAAACATGAGTGCAGAAACAATTGACCTCAAGGATATACATGATTTTCTGATAGAACTAGCTTCCAAGGCTGGAGAAATCATTACCAATGCCTTGCCGAACACAGGAAGGACAGGGTCAAAGAAGAACAGTGAGTTTCCAGTCTGTGCCCAGCTGCGTTTAAGGTATTCACCTCTTCCATAGCCGCAGATCTCGTCACTGAATATGATCGTGCGGTTGAGAAAATGATATCTACAGCGTTAGCAGGGAGATATCCGCAGTACCAGTAAGTCATATACGACCCCTTCTATAATGTTCGCCAACGGGCCAAAGCGATGATTACGGGTCTGGTGATTTATCTCAGGCTACTCTCTTACTCACTTAGCGATGAGAAGAGCTAACAGTCCACCACTATAGATTTCATGGCGAGGAGACATATGACCCTGCAAGTCCACTAACTGATGCCCCCACATTCGTCGTCGATCCCATCGACGGTACAGTCAATTTTGTGCACGGATTCCCATATGCATGCATCTCTCTCGGCTTTGCGATCGACAGGAAACCGGTCGTTGGTGTTGTTTACAATCCATTCAACAATACCCTCTACTCCGCCATCCGTGGAGAAGGGGCGTATTTAAATCGCAACACCAAACTTCCGCTCGACGCTAGGAGCCTTGAGCCATTGAATGGCCTAGAGAATGCTCTCATCGGCGTTGAGTGGGGTTCCGAGAGAGCAGGCAAGAATTGGGCGACGAAGGTACGGACATTTGAAAAACTCGGTAAAACCAAGGATGATGGTGGTGCAATGGTACGCTCAATGCGTAGCATGGGCTCAGCTGCATTAAACCTTTGCGCGGTCGCATGTGGGAATCTCGACTTGTATTGGGAAGGTGGTTGCTGGGCGTGGGATGTTTGCGCTGGCTGGGTCATTCTGACAGAAGCTGGCGGTATAATCGTGGACGGCAACCCTGGCAACTGGGAAGCCAGCGTTGATGGGCGAAAGTATCTCGCAGTCCGAGGATCGCCAAATCGAGCAGGACAGAAGGAGCTAATCGAGGAGTTTTGGGGGCATATACAATGCCATCTCGAGTATTGAATTGAATAGTGAGCTGAGCGCTTTCAAGCACGCCCTCGAAACTGCCGGTTTCCGGCTGCCGCAAGCCTTGCTCTCAACACCAACCGAGGAAAGTGGTTGACAATATTGAGTAGTTTAGTGAGGGAGAAAGACTCCCACCATCATGTTACAATGTACATCTCAGACACGATGACACATCAGTTTGGCAATATGTAAAACTCAGCATACCTAAGGTATTCTCCGGCATGCCTGTGCCCTGTAGTCTAGATGCCTACATCCGGCTTGTAATTACCGGCATTTTGGTCTACGTGATCAAATGATAGTCTGACTCTCCGCCCTAGCTATTGACGGCTTGGTTGCGCGCCAACGGTGCTATTCACCCCTTCATGAGTTCTGGCCTTGTTCGAAGGGCTTACTGCGTACTGTCGATGTTCTCAACGGTCGAGTAGCTTGGATATGCATCGCTGAGAAATTGGCCGGCGCCGTATGACCTGCAAGTTGAAGTCGTTTTTTCATCCAACAAACCAGCCTAGGATTGAGTTCCACCATCCGTATCACAAGTTGTCCCTACAGGTATATGTGCCTCCTGGACGCTTTCTCCCGGCCTTTTCTGAATCTCGTTCAGGGAATCCTGTCGAAAGTGACTATCGACGAGATGTTTCACTACGGGCCAGCCGTACGCATTCGTGAACATCCGCCTCACGATGATGTTATTGTGAGCATCTGGTTCAAGGCGAACAAGGACTTTGCGCCATGACATTCCACAGTGATAAGCCCTGGCGATTTTTTCCTCAACTTTCAAACCAGCGGGCATCGCATTTCCGTCATTGGTAGAGCGACTTTCATCGCAGCCTGAATCCCGCGGACCATCAGAAGCCTTACTCTCAAAAGAGCTCAATGGCGAGGTCTTGCGCTTGGCAGACAAAGGAGGTATGTCCTCGGGGTGATATATACGGTCGTGAAAGATTGTCTTTGGCCTGGAAGCAGGATTAACAATAAACTGAACCGGTGGTAGAGGTGGCATGAGAAGATCTCCGGCTGATTCAAAAAATGTGGTTCTTGGGGGAGCGTTAAGCCCGGATTCCTCGTAAGAAGAGTTTCGCGAAAGAGGTTCTTCAAGGGGAAACGGTCTAGAAGTGGACGCATGGGCGAAGTCAGATGTGGTACTCAGAGTCTGACTCCGCTTGTAGACTTTTGTATGTTTATGCCTAGATGATACAGTTGTTGCTCTTTTTGGCCGAAAAATCGAGAAAAACGCGCTCAGCGGGTTGAGCGAAGGCTGAATCGAAGATATCTTAGGTTCCTGATTCTGTCTTGAGCCGCCTAGCTCTACTTGCGGCTGATGGTTTGCGCTTTCGCCAGTGGATAAGACCGGAGAATCAACAATGGAAGCATTTTGGACTGTCTCAGCTTGCCTTTGTTGTTGGACCTCCTCTGACGGAGAATTGATCCTGCCGCTATCGCGATGGTCAATTCTGGCGGGCGACGCATTGCTATCGATAGGAGAATGAGGTGACCGAAGTGAGACCGAATTAGCACCGGTCAACTCTGCCCATCCCCATTCCGCCATTGTGCTAACAAGGCCGTTCTGCCTTCTTGCCTTCTCAACGCGCTCCAACCCTCTCCAATCAAGAAATAATAGGCACGAAGTTCGCAAAGGCACAATCCCATCATTAACCACGTTTGAATAGACCGTGCGACGGTCAAACTTGGAAAGCGCCTCATGAGCTGGACCACAGGGAAGTACTCTTAGCAAAGGCTTAGGTCCATGATCTACATGGTCCCGTGGCTTTGTAGAAGTACCTCTGCCGCCGATTACCGCCTCCCATCCGCTCCGTACTCTGGGAGCAGTCCAGCTTAACCCTAGATCCTGGCCTGTCCGGCCGACAAGGCCGAGATCGAGAGCAAAGCGGACATACATAGGGTTCTCATTGCTGAGCCCAAGGAAAGGTGTCGCTAGAGCGATGAAGTTGACAGGGCGGATCAGATTAAAAAATTCAGGCGAGTGTTTCTGAATGTATGCAATGGCATACGTCTGAACCAAACCTCCAAGAGAATGCCCGATAAAGCTAATACTCGTAATCTGGTAGTAACGATGCTCGTCTTCTGCCTCATCTGCACGAGTTCGAGACTCAGAAGGGTCGTTAAAAACATTTTCCTTCGCACTCTTCCATGCACCGAGTGATTCAGTGAACGTTTTAGTTCTAGATTGTTTGAGTGGTTTGTAGGGTTGATCTGGGTATGTCATGAACAAGACGTATTTCGCAAGTCGCTTGCCGAGATACTGTATTCCGCGTTCAGTACGTACTGCATTACCAGCAAAACCTCGAACTATGACTTGTTCGTCATCGATATCGTCTTGATCGGCCGAATCATCATCGCGAATGGAACTTCAGCCAACATTAAGTCAGAAGGGTCAAAGGGATAGCCAAATAACATAATTGTCTTAACGCAAGCAATTCCAAAGCTTACCGATCTAGAGAAGAGACGCCATTCGGCACCTGCGGAGTTAAATGTTGTCTCAACTTGCAAGATGCCCCTCTCTGTGTTTTCTTAGTTGCAGCGTCAATGCTTTCTTTCAAGTAAAGCATGTCTGCTCCAAGGTTGCTGTGTAGACCATGTGTAAGTACGACGAGGTGAACTTTTTTTCGACACGCACAGTTTTGCCGAGTGGTGTCGGGTTGGTTGGCCCTTTCCACTGATTCCCCGTTCGTTGGTGGTATATTCGACGGAGATCCAGTGTGGTCAACGGCATCGTGTTGAGATGGGAAAGGAGGCGTATTCCAGAGACTGGCGGTGTCATCTATACGCAAACAAACCGATTTCGAAAAAACGCCTTTCGTAGCAACCACTTGCCTGCCTTTCGTTGTGGGCTGTACATGATCCTGTAGGTGAGCTGCCGGGTGAAGCCTGCCGACCGATAACCCGCCACTGTAGGGGAGTTCAACTGACTCCTCATCACGGCCGATGAGTAGCTCATAATTGACAATAGCTGTGGTGGAGAAAATGACCTGCGATATTATCTCGATAACCCAGGTCACTTTTTGAATGCTGTCGGGTGATGCGGGCGTCTCTGGAATTCGATGCAGGCTTTTCGGTATAGGGATCATTGCTTTCCAGCCCCCTCCTGCCTTAAGGTATGGTTCAAATTGAGGGATCCCCTCGATTTCCTCATCCTGGGAATGGCCATGAGGGTCGAATGTGGAAGGATAACAGGAGGCATAAAGAGTATATGGCCCATGCAGGTACGCAGCCCGCAGTGCGATGGCAGATGTGTTTCTGACCTTGACATGTAGCGCATCTGGTAGAGGATGGACATTGTCAGCTACCGGTGTGTAAGTCACTGTGTATCTGTTTGAGAACAACATATTAGTATATAAGTAGAGTATGTAGGAACTACGCCCGGTAGGACCAAGGAGAGTATAATGTGATACAAAAGACGAACCTGATTGCTTCTCCTACACGGACACTGCCAGCTTGATGCACCAACAGCATATCAGTAGCTCTTTTGGTTTGTACTGTGTCTGCTTGCCACCCAGTAATTGAATGAAATTTGAGGGACTTGAATTGTGAGGAAGAAGCTATTTCCTGATCCGGTCTTTGGGAGGTAAGATACAATCGAGGCGTGATGAACATCTGGATATAGACAGAATCATCTCTGTTATAGTGATGACCACAATTCTTATGATCTCCAAGGATATTGTAAAAGCGACGGTCCGAGATTGATAAATCATGGCATTATATAATATGCAAGAAGTTGAGAAATACCCTGAGAAACTAGGGGCAGACCAGAGTGATTTAGCCTCTTCGCCACGGCACTGATCTACATAAAGATCATTACAACAGTACCTCTGTACGACCAGAGTAAATATTATTCTCTAATATAGTTATTATGAGTTATGGTGCTTTATATGCGCTAAAGAACCACTCTCTATTCGGTAATGATTAAGTCTATGTATTATTCTGTACTCCTAATTTACAGGCCACAGAGTTTGCATACCTTCACGTTCTCTTATGGTTGCAACTTTTTAAGGAGATACCTGTAGGTATCTAGTGCAAGCTCTATCAGTATTTCTCCCTTTAGTCATGCAATTTCTAGATAACTATGTACAAAAATCTATATGGTACTCCCTGCTAAGGTAGTTAGCCCAGGTCTTCTTAGTCCTTCCCTATCCACATACCCAGTCATGTGAATGATAATATGATAGCTATGGTTATGTAATCATAAAGACCATACATCACATCACCTCCTATTGCCTCTGAGAAAGGCGCATAAACAGATTCCCAGTTGTTCTTGCTTATTCATTAATAGCACTACTGACATCTCTCTTAACCTAAATATTATCTCAGCAGGCGCAGTTGGAATATAGGTCACTATGACTTTACCTGCCAGTGATGCAAACTCACAAACTCACACAAGCGCTCACAAAGCTCCGCCGATGCGATTTCGCCGTCCTAAAGTTGCAGACCCTTTAGTCAGGCCAAAAAAGAGGGTTATAGCACGACCGGCAGCTACTTCGGCTTCTTCTGTTGGTATAGACACAAAACCAACAACTCGTCCAGTAATTCCCGATATCACCCCCGCGACCCAAGCCGAGAAAGCTGCCCCCGGCGCCCCCCAAAATGATTTCTCAGTGAATGGTTTCAGCGGTCCTTTACTGTCTGAGACTTATGTGGATTATCCCATAGTGATCACGAAGCGATCGTTGCGAGTAGGCTTGAAACATCACATCGCTCGCTTCGCGTCCAAGAAGACTATCGATCCTCGTGATGAGTCTCAATTTACTCGACCTGTCAGACTTCAACGTCGAGACCCTAGAGCAAAGACGCAAGAGATGAATCAGGACAAAGGCCAGACACAGAAGTTGACGCCTCAATCTAGTCACCAGTTAGGCGATGCCGAGAGGGAGGAGCTTGAAGCTAGAAAGGCCGCGAGAGAAAAAGAGCGTGCTGAAAATTTGGCCCAAATAGCCCCTTCCATGGGGTCAGCACCCAAGCGGGCCAATGTTCCGAAACAAAAGACGCAGCAAGTGTCGAAGACAGACATGACACCTGAAGAGGTCGCCAGAGCACGAATTAAATACGAAGAGGCTTTACCTTGGCATCTCGAGGACTTTGACAACAAGAATATCTGGGTGGGAAACTACGAAGCCGCTCTTTCCGAAACACATGCCGTATTCATACCCGAGAATGGTAGGATGAGGATGATACCAGTAGAGAAATGGTATAAATTCGGTGCCAAGAGCCAATTCAGAGCTCTAACCATTGAAGAAGCGGAAAGATTTATGGCAAAGAAAATCAAAGATCCCAGGTGGTTTATGGAAAAGCAACAAGAGCAAGCACAGCGTAAGGAATTGGAACAATTCGCAAAACAACGGAAGGTTTACGCTGGTAAACAAGGCACCCCAGCAGGTGCTGACGGCCTGGAAGCCGATGAAATGGATTTCGAAGAAGATCGGTTTGCGGATGATGAAGAGCACGATGATCTTTTCAACGAAGACGAGGAGACCAAGGCAGCGGAAAAGCGGATCAAACAGGATCAGCTGAAGGCAAACGTCTTCGATTTGAAGGATGAAAAGGATTACGAAGAAGAGGAGCTCAGGGAAAAGAGAGAACGGGAAGCTCGCCGTATACTGGGCAAGAAGGTCCGCAAAGCCCTCAAAAAACGAGAGAAGAATTACGACTATAGCAGTGGCTCTGATGTCAACCCCTACTCTGATGAAGAGGTGTGTTCGTTTGGATCCTATCTGGTTACACAGTTACGCTAATGAGGTTACGTTCAACTTAGAGCTCTGATGATAGCGAAGCTGAACGATTACGGGAAGAGGAGCGAAAAGCTGAAGAGGAAAAAAATAAGAAGGATTCAGCTCCCTCGACAAGGGGAAATGTTACCCCATCTGGCCGTCCGAAGCACACTGAACCTTTGAAGAAGGGCCCAGGTGCAGCGTCGCGGAAACGGCTTGGGTCTCCAAATGTATCAGATGCAAGTGGCACAGATACCTCTCGCAAAAAGGCAAAGAGCAAGCATCCTTCTTCTCAGCCTACGCCCCAGCCAACTTCTCGTGCCCTGTCGCCAACTGCGCCTCCAGGACAGGTGAGTTTCTCCAACCGTAGCTGTCTGTTCATTGCACTCATTTTTCATCGGTACAGGTTGGTAAGAAACGCATCCGGAACGTCGCAGGAGCGGGATCGGTTAGCGATGCTGATGGGGGAGCCGCCTCTGGAGGGGAGATGAGTGAAAGTGGAAAAATCAAGAAATTGAAGCTTAACCCACCTGCAGCGACATCACAAGGCGGAACTCCTCAAGGATCCAGGGCAGGCAGTCCAACTCCTATAGGCAGTAAGGGTCTCGCCGCAAGTCGTGCTAGCAGTCCCGAGTCACTGAGGGGTAAGATCTCACTAGATGTTCATGTTTTCACCGCTGCCTGTCCGCCTATAGAACTAACTTCTGCATGCAGGGCAAAATCGCATCTCTACACCGGTACCTTCCGGGACTCTAAGCTTCCCGACTCCAGCAGAAATCCATGCCGCCATACCTCAAACTGGTATACTAAGCAGTGATCTTCTGAAAATTTTTCGGCCTCGCATAGGCGAGTCGAAGGAGAATCACCGCAAGTTCATTGCAATAGTCAAGGATGTCGGGGTGTACGGAAAAGAGGACCGGCTATTGCGACCAGGTGTACTGAAGGATGGTCAGAGATAAATGAGACTCCGACAACACTGAGACGCATTTGTTCTCCAGGACCTTTATAATACAGAGGGTCTATCGCCGAGTCACGCCCAATGCACACTCCTGCAGTCTTCCAACATGAGTAGTATCGAGCGCTCGCAAGGCTATTCCTAGTTTTCCCTTTCTTACATTACATGCGTGGTCATGGAGTAAGCAATTTTTCGGCACCGACAATCGCTAGTGTTGACTTGGTACTTAGTTTGTCGATATGGCGATATAACGTTTTAGAGCGTTGCCATAGTCGGCCAAACTAACTCCGTTTAGCGATGACTCTCAGGTTTTCGGTTTGGTCCTGCGAACGCAGCTCACACAGTGGCCAATGAGGAGCAATGCGATATAATCAAGCTTTACAGACCATCATATAAAGAACAAAAATATAGTGTCATTAAACCTAAATACAGAAATCTATTATGTTGGGCTATCATACGAGATGTGTAAACGAGGGCACCAAGAAGCAGAACCTAACGCTAAGGAAGCATAGCATGGAAAGGCCAGGACTCTGTAATCATCTCCTTTCAACTTTTCAGGCAGTGTTGGTGCCTGTGGCGCGTGAAGTGTTCTCACCTCCCTCTTCATACTTGTCCCAATTTGCCAGGATATGGGCGATCCGAGGAGAGTTTGTGAGTCGGTACACATCCTCGAAGTACTCCTTTGTGATCTCAAATGGGCGGGCAGTGACATTTGGAATATATTTGCCAATCAACTTGCTCGGATCGATGGTAGTTTTGTTGATTTTCTTCAGCAGGAATGACCGGAAAGGCTTGACACCGGAGCGAAGGAAGGTGCTGTGGAAAGGCACGTCGATTCCTTTCAGCGGAATAGTGGCGAAGCCTCGCTCCAAGACAATAGGCCTGGGCTTCGACTCGGTTTGTTTGACACATTCATGAATGATCTTGACAAGGTGAGCCTTCAAGTCATCCAAGGACATGCTCTGCATTAATGCTGGAATGTCGATGTTTTGAGCCTTCAGATAGTTGAGCAGATTTGTAAGGCAATCAAGAGCGCGGAGCTGTCGAAGTTAGAATGCTGAGATATTGAGGAGGAAGAAAGGGGGAACACTTACATCTCCAGCAGCAACATACTGCATATTTGCGACATTGTAGTTGACAATTTCCAATAGCCAACCTGTTTGCTCAGCAATGTTCTCAACGACGTACTGCAAGGCTTGCTCATTGAATGTCTTTGAGATGCGACTTGGGTTGACGGCGCACATAGAGTAGTTCGAACGTCCTTGTTCATCTCTTTCGACAGCAACCTGCATAGTCAAACCACGATAGAACACGACGGAAACCAGACTCTCAATAGGCATGACATCCGCAAGAGCGGCGAGAGCGGAGTATTCACCCAGGGAATGACCAGCGAAGCTGCTATCTCTCTGGACGAGACCCTTGGAGCGCATATCCTCGAAACTTGCCTTCTCCATCAGTGTCAGTGCCGGCTGCGTGAACTGAGTTGCAGAGAGCAATCCAGACGGCGACCGATATGTGTATGATGTCGTGTCCTCATTGATTTCTTTGAAGATCTTCTCAGACTTAATCGTGCCGTCCGCATTGACTGTCTCGAAAGTCATCGACATGTAGTTTTGGCGAATGGCTTTTCCACGGGGACCACCAAAGTAGACAGTGAGCTCCTTGGGATTGTTTTTGACGATATCAATGATGGACAAGCCGTAGTTCTCGATAAAATGACGATCTGCCCGATCCCAAACCTCCCTGGCGACAGGGCTGCTGCTGTACAGCTCCATACCCATTCCCTGCTCCTGAGAGCCCTGTCCAGTGAAAACATAGGAGGTTACTGGTTGCTCGACTTCGGCTTCGCCCAGAAGAACCTTATCTTCTGTTTCCTTGTTGCTGGCCTCAACCTTGATGATTTTACGGCCGGCCACCATACCGACATGCTGTAACTTCACGGTGATCATATCATTGGGGAGGACCATACCGACGAGGGACACATGGAAGCCTCGAACACGGCCGATATTGTTTTCAGCGGCCCAGGTCTCGACGAAACTGCGAACAGCGGCGCTGGTATACATGCCATGTGTGATGGTCCCCGGAAGATTGGCATAGCTAGAGAAAACACGAGAGACGTGAATTGGATTGTAATCGCCTGAAACCCGAGCATATGTTTCATTGGATGCCGGTGCGCGCAAAACGAGGGGTGTCTTTCCGCTCAACGGAATAGGGTTTTCGAAATAGACTGGTTGTTCTATGGACGTACCATTGCGTTGAAGATAGTCAATGACCGGATTACCATGAGAGGTTCCGGTCTCGTAGTCCACTGTTGCAACCTGAATGACTTCCTTTGTGGGAAGTTCAAGCAGCACCTGGCCGACTGTCTGAACGTGGCTGAATACAGATTTGTTTTTGAACCGGATCAAGCTCTGGAGACGGAAAGTGAGAGTCTGACCTAACAATTCGACGTCGGGTTCGTCTAGACGGAACCACTCTTTCGACCGTAGAATTGCAACATCCCTGCTTGAAGCAAGGTGAACTTGCATGGGAACCTCATCCTTGCGCTGGAAAGTGTTCTCAAAATCCAGGTACGATCCTCGGTATAGGAATTGACTGGTGACATGCATGATTGGTTGCCTGTCTCTGTGAATTGTACCGCATACTTCAACCATTTTCCCGGAATCTTGGTTGATCACAGCATTGATTTGGGCAGTTGTGTCCAACACGTCTCCAACCTTCAAGGGTTGAGCACCAGGGACCATTTTGAATCCGTTCGAAAGATGGACCAGTTTCAAAAGATCCCCGTCAATTGTCCGAGGGAAGATGGGCTTGGTGATGGCCTGCCAGCCAACAACAATGGCAAAGTCCATGGGAGCGAAGACTTCCTTTCCGGGCCTATCGACGAAGGCCTCCCCAGTATTGCCAACAGCGTGCACGAAGTCAGCGACAGCTTGGGCAGTGATAGTTTCCCGACCACCACTAAATGTTGCCGTGGTAGGGGTGTCAAAAGGGACATCCTTGCTACCAAACCAGACCCGATAATAGAACTCCTTAATGCGATCGTTGCGACCATCCATGACTTCCCTGATGGGTGCATAGCCGGCCTCAGGATGGTACGTGAACAAGAAGCTCAAAGGCACAACCCCACCCTCTGCAGTTCTGCCTTCGAAGAGTGTGAGACTGATTTGACCTTGGTCGTTGACCTTCACCTCCACAGTCTTGACGAGTTTGCCGGATTGATAAGGCTCTCTCACACAGATGGTGGTCTTGGATGGTTCCTCTGGATACGAGACCTCCACGTACATCCCCGGGGTGGGTGCGACGATCCGCTTCATCGGGTTTGTCTGGAAACGGTGACCTTGAACAAAGACGTCTGCCAAGAAGAGAGCGTGCCTCCATGAGTATGATTTGCCAGCGAGGAGGCGTAACCACAGGTCAAGATCAGGAAGATCGCCTGAGGGAGAGGATGATAGACGATAGCTGATTTTGTTTGTATCTTCAGAGATCGTGAGCCCGTCGATGTCTAACTCACTGACGGCTTCATGAAGCCGGCCTCCGAAGTACTCAATGACAGGGATCTTGGACTCGTCACCGCCATAGACGTCCTGGAGAAGACCCTTAATATGACCCTGATGAATACCATCCAGGATTTGTTGGACAGGCTCGTCTATGGTGTTAGAAAATTTGGCTGCCATTGGACCTTGCAAAATACAGGTCCTTCCGACATCTTGCCCAACCACGGCCTCCAAATCCTCACTCTGCCAAAGAGAGTCCTTCTTGAACCAATACTCGAAGTTCTCGTCCAGTGCCGGCACAAATGGGACAGGCTTCTGTCCGCGCCGCTGACAAAGCAAAAGGAAATGATGAACATCCTGCGCATTGATTAATTGAGTAGCCGCTTCAGGGTAAGCTGCTAAAATGTTGTCAATTGCCGGATAAGGAGTATCGAGCTCGGAATAGTTCTGCAGCAGAGAAGCCTGCCCTTCCTCGGTGGTGAATCGTTCCTCGACGCGACGGATGAAATCGCCAGTCAACTTCTTCAAAGAGGCATCAATCCAGCGCGATTCATGCTTGACATACATGAGTTCTACCATACGATGAACCACCTCGGCGTACGTCATGTCTTCAAGATCGACCGCCTCACCAGCGGCATTACGGCCGAACCATACTTTTTGAAAGTCGTCGTTGAGTTTCTTGATGATATAATCACGCTGCTTCTTGAGTTCTGGCACGCGCTTCGCCTTGTCAAGTTTGAAGATTTTCTGATCCATCTCGTGCCAGAACAGAACACCTCTTGTCGCCAACTTATGAATGGGTTCACCCATCTCCGAAAGAACGGTGACCACACCGCCAGCAGGACCCTTGTAAGTCTTCTCCCAATCTTTGTCATCAAGACCAGGGGCGTCAGCAATTGCCTTCTTAGCATTCTTAGATGTGTGCGCTTCTTTAGCAATCATCAGGCGACTGCCAAAGAGGCACCCGTCGAAGGGCATCGGGGGATATCCGAAGCTTGAAGACCATGCTCCGGAAAGATAAGGGTAAGTGTCCTCAGCACCACCGAAGCCACTGCCAGCGACAAGGACAATGTTCTCACACCGTCTGATGCGGCTATACATTTGTAGAATGGGTTGGTGAAAGTCTTCAAAGGAGTGATGACCACCACCACGACCACCGGTCCACTGAAGGATGACAGGAAACCTCGGGTTGGCTTTGGCGATATTGATGACCTGCTGAATAGCATCCACTGAGCCTGGCTTGAAGGCTATATGCTTGATTCCCAGGGTTTCAATGTATTCATTGGCGACTTCAATGGAAGGAACACCAGCGCCGATTGTGAGGCCTTCAATGGGTACACCGTCGGCCCTCAATTTCCCGATGAGAGGAATTTGCCAAGCCATAGCTCGGGGGTTGACGTAGATCAAGTTGACAGTAATACCACGCCCAGGAGGAATGGTCTTTTCGATCTTGGAGATGGCCTCTGTCATGCTCTTTCCGTTGTAGTAACCACCCCCAGCAAGTTCAATGTGGTATCCCGCATTCATTGTTGCGGCAACGAAGTCCCAGGGCACCGTAGTTGGTGTCATACCGGCTACCATGATGGGAGGGATGCCCAGAAGACGGCTCATCTTGGTATCGACGAATGTCAGGCCCGTTGCGTTCTTCACAAGACGGGGGCCGTACTCCTTAACCCAATCAATGGCATATTTTACAGAGTGCTCATCGCGGTCAAACAGCTCAGGTTTGTATCCGACCTCGGCGTTGGTGCCATCCATAGCCCCCGCGAGAATCACTCGGACTCCAGTACCATCCTTATTGCGGTTCGTAAGAACACCAAGACCTGAGATACCGCCGGGGCCGAAATCGACGATGTGAGTGGCCCCTTGGAAGACAGTTGCCTTCTCCCAGTTGACTGCATCGTGGGTGATCATGCGAACCAGAGATGGAACAATATTGGCGTCGCCACTTTGCCGGAGATCATCACCCGTCTTGGTGTCGTACACAGGGATCGCAAGGGACTTAGCTGAGATTTCGATGTCCTCCAGGTCCTCGAGGATACGGTCGTACGCTGCGTAGAGGTACTGGCTGTGGAATGGCGCGGTTATTGGCAAGAATCTGTTGACGAAGCGAACCTTGCGCTGCGTAAACGGAACCCGGTTTTGATCCAGCCCAGTGGGAGCCTTGACTTTGCGTAGGCGAAGGTTGAGACCGTAGAGGGAAAGAGGGGGTCCAGTGACCACAAAATTACGAGCGCTGTTGACCAGGGAAATAGAGATATGACGATCGGCAGGAAGATGCTGATTGGTGGTATCAATGTGTTCCTGGACAGCAGATCTCGGCAGATCTCGAATGGACAACATAGGGGTTGGGACGCCTTCCCCGTTCTCAATAGAATCCTGCAGCACGGATGGGGCAATAGAAGTCCGAGGGTAAGCCTGCTGACTGCGAAGACCAATCCAGAAGAGCATTGTCAAGGCATCTTTGGCCGCTTTCGCGAAACTCTCCCATGTTGTTGCCGAGGCAATCGCTGCGGCGGTGACCACACCTTGAGAGTGACCTGTAGTGCCGCTGAACCGCTCCAGAATCTCACCAGGCTGCCGACCTAAAACCTTGCAGGTAACCACAAAATGGGCCAATTGGACTAATCCAATTAATGGCAAACTCACAGGAGCTGCCACAAGGTAGTCGGTGTCGGGCTGGGAGTCGCGATCCTGGAGCCACTGGATGACGTCCAGTCCTTTGGGATAGAGCTTGCTGGCCTCCGGTTCGCGGGAAAGTTGTTGCAATAGGTCAGCGGATGAAGAGATCAAATCCTCCACAAAAGATGGGTAAGTCATGTAAATTTCCCTCAGCTCATCAAAGTACTCTTCGATGTTGCCCTGACCACCGAAGACTGAGTAAATACTGGCTTTTTCTTCGGAGGCGGCTCGGAATAGCGCAGATTCGTAAGGCTTGGTGGGCCGTCCAGCGGCGGCCCTTCCGGCATAATAGGCCTCAACAACCAAGATTTTCTTGGCAGTAATACCCGGGAGAGCGGCTGCCACGGCATGGACATCATTTCCGCGCATGAAGGCTCTTTCGAACTCGTTAAGAGCTAGCTTCAGGACTTCCAGACAGGTTCCCTGTGCATCGTCCTCGCCCTCTTCGACCTCGCGAGCAACGTGGCCGATATACCGTGCTACAAGCTCGGCCACCGAGGAGGGCTCATCGTCCTGAGCAAGCTCATCTGTCGGTTGTGGGAGGGATGCCGTAAAGGTATCTTTTAATTGTGAAGCATAGAAATGGAGGGATGTAGGCACGAGGAAGGAAAACTCGAGTGACCCATGAGTCAGAATAAGTGGCCGCAGTGACTGTGAGGAGCGTGGCGTGTTGATGCCCGTCTGGGGGCCCGTCGATGCTCCGTACATTTTATCGAACTCTTGTGTCTATCCCAATGGAGCCGAATATGGTCGTCGAATTCGCGCGGACACAACGGGATTCTGCAATTGATCAGATATCAGAAAGGAAACAAATAAAAGCTGGTGGGTATGTCTCTTCTTTCGCTCATTCCTGCAGTCGATAATTTGAACAACAGCCGGACACTTTTTGTATTTTCTCCCCTCCCCTTCTTCGAAATTCCTCTCTTCCCATTTCTTGTACGCTTCCCCGAGCAAAAATCAAGAGGACGACCAGAGGTCTAGTCAATGCTTACCTGTTGCTCCAAAAACTGTCTGCAATGCTGGATGACGCTAGCTTTGATTTCACATCAACTGGATCGTCCTCCAGTAATTGAAAGAAAGTAGAAGAAATTGGAAATCAGGGGAACAATAAATCGTGGTAAAGAAAGAATTAAAAGATTTACAGCATGGAGACGAAGGAGCATAAAACAATATACTCCCGTCACTGGCAGAGTCAAGAAGGGACGTAGATGCGGGATGGGGGGGAAAAAAAAGACTGCAGAGAGTCCTCAAGCTTTGGCGTCCGTATTCTGGAAATGGGAACAAGAAAGATTGGAGAGACGCACTAGGTAGGTAGGTACACTCCAAATCGAAATTATGAATTACCTACTCCGTACTCCATACTCTGTAAGGTAGTACCTTGTAGATTTTCTCTGGTAAGTACGCACTAGTGTACCTACAACACGGTCCGTCATCCAACAAGATGTCCCGAACAGATATGCGGGCTAGATCCCTGCACACATCAATATGTTGAACCGGCCGGAAGGAGGAGGGAAAAAGCCGAGATTTTGGGGCTGGTTGAATAGGAACTGGCCCAATGAGGCATGGCGGGTCATACCACCTCCCCAAAGGTCCAACGGAAATGGTTGGGTTGAACATGATAAGGTTGTGACAATACATGACATGACATGACATGAAGAGGACATCGGCCAGGATGAGACTTGACGGCAAGCCGACTATCTTATGGTTGGTGAGTGGTATACTGTAAAAAGGTACGGGATGAGATTCACTGCTCCTTAAGAATTCTCTTAACTTATTTATAGGCTCTAGATGGATCACCCTACTCAGCGCAATATCAGTTTATTATGAGTGAGCCCTTACCTATGTAGTAAATAATTACAGACCTCAGCCATTTCTTGAAATAAATCTTTTCAAGGTACGAAGTATCATTTGTACGTACCGTGGTTGGGTGCGGCTCGAAATGTTGGAAGCTTACCTACCAGTTAGATACCACCTTACTAAATCTAGGTACTAGATGAAGCTGTAGGGTACAACGTCCATAATCATACGGAGTACTTAATTGATAGACGTGTCTTGCCACAGGAGGGCTTATACATGTACAAATTACTTGATTGCGACTTAATAATAGCCCATATATTATCCATTGCGGACTTCTCCGGCATCCTCCCACCAAACCTAAGGCAATAGGTTGTACTTCAACAGTATCTAGATATGCTCTATGGGGTACATGGCTGCCTTTAGTACCATCCATTGAGGATGTAGTTCCGGGGCCGTCGAAAGATAGAGGAAGGGACGTGTTACTCTAAACTCTGTACCAAAATGTAGAATATTAATATAGGATTAGGAAGCTCTGTCTACTTTGTCCTAGGCTCCTAGCAGCTTAGCTTGGCTGTGGACTAGTCCTAAATAGGTGACACGAAAATCCATGTAGAAGCGATCCACCCTGTCAACCAAGCCGCCCCAACACTCACCAAATACTCACCAGTACTCGGTAATTAATGTTTTTTCCTCATCCACATTTATTTTCGAACATCCATTGAACAACAGATTTCCTCGTTGGAACCTGCAGAGTGCTCTAATACATTTTTGTTTTCCCTTCCATCTGTAATTTATAAAATTGTGATTCCAAGGTACCTTGTTATTACATTTCCTTGGACCTTGATTCTTTTCTGTACTCTATTCAATTGTCAAAATTGACAATTATTTCACTGCTACCTGAGTTTTCTGGGTAATTGCATTGGAGAAGTTACTGTACCCCACCATTTATGGTACGGTTCCAAGCTGGGGTGAGTTTCATGTCTCTTACCATCTTTACCGTTCCTATTATTCTAGTTCTTCATTGCCGACAAAATTTCCAACCGCTCCGTATCCATGTTCAAATTCTAAACAGAGGGACGTTAGAGTATGCTCTCTCTGTAGCAATCACCTTGCCTTTCTTCCTACTTTGCTTTTACCCTTTTCTTTTTGTTTTCAAACCTTGCTAACTTCGGCCATTTCAGTCCAAGGTTGTTGACTTCCTTATACAAATTACTAGTTATTAATTGAGAGTCCCATTCCTCCGTCGGTGGTCGTCGACGTCGGTTTCTTTTGAAGCATTTGCTCGCAGAGCAACGGCCGTATTACGAACCCATTTCACCTTATTGATCAGTGCTTCCCGGCGTTTGGTGATCTGCTTCCGCCTATACCTTTCACCTCTTCATCGTAGTTGATACCTACTTCACCAGTCATGCGGCCTGAAATTGAACAAGAACTCGCCCACACCTTACTGGTTGAGCTTCTGGCTTACCAGTTTGCGTCCCCGGTGCGATGGATCGAAACTCAGGATGTCATTCTTGCAGAAAAGCGAACAGAGCGGATTGTGGAAATCGGTCCCGCCGACACATTGGGGGGGATGGCAAGGAGGACGCTCGCGTCCAAGTATGAAGCGTATGACGCTGCCACTTCGGTGCAGCGGCAAATTCTCTGCTACAACAAGGATGCGAAGGAAATTTACTACGACGTGGATCCTGTCGAAGAAGAAGCAGAGGCTCCAGCTGCCTCACCTGCAGCTTCAGCCCCTACTGCCCCAGTTGCAGCTGCAGCTCCAGCTCCTACCGCAGTTGCCCCCGCTCCCAGCGCCGGACCAGCAGCAGCAGTCGACGATATTCCCGTCACGGCGGTAGATGTGCTCCGAACACTAGTCGCACAAAAGTTGAAGAAGGGCTTATCCGACGTTCCTCTCAGCAAAGCCATCAAAGACCTGGTTGGAGGTACGTTTCAATTCCCTCGTTCGAAAGTCGTGATGCAACTGAACTTTTGGAACTCATCATCTTTATTTCTTTTTGAACAGGCAAGTCCACGTTACAGAATGAGATACTGGGAGACTTGGGCAAGGAGTTTGGGTCCACGCCGGAGAAACCTGAGGACACACCCTTGGATGAATTGGGTGCCTCGATGCAGGCGACATTCAATGGCCAATTGGGCAAGCAGTCCTCATCTCTCATTGCTCGTCTAGTCTCGTCAAAAATGCCCGGAGGTTTCAACATTACCGCTGTTCGGAAATATCTGGAAACACGATGGGGCCTGGGTCCCGGTAGGCAAGATGGCGTCCTCCTGCTTGCCCTCACCATGGAGCCTCCTTCCCGAATTGGGTCGGAGCCGGATGCGAAGGCATATCTCGACGACGTTACCAACAAATATGCCGCCAATGCAGGAATCAATCTCTCTGCTCCTACGGCTGGCAGCGACAGTGGGTCCGGTGCTGGTGGCATGCTCATGGACCCAGCCGCCATCGATGCTCTGACGAAAGATCAACGGGCACTGTTCAAGCAGCAGCTGGAGATCATTGCACGCTACTTGAAGATGGATCTGCGTGCGGGCCAGAAGGCATTCATCGCTTCCCAAGAAACTCAAAATGCGCTGCAAGCACAGCTTGATCTCTGGCAAGCAGAACATGGTGACGTGTACGCGTCTGGTATTGAGCCAGCTTTCGATTCACTAAAGGCTCGCGTCTATGATTCGTCTTGGAACTGGGCTCGTCAGGATGCTTTGAGCATGTATTACGACATTATCTTTGGAAGGCTCAAGGTCGTGGACCGTGAAATCGTCAGCCAGTGTATCCGTATCATGAACCGCTCCAATCCTCTCCTACTTGATTTTATGCAGTATCACATCGACAACTGTCCTACTGAGCGTGGTGAAACGTATCAACTCGCCAAGGAGCTGGGACAGCAACTTATCGAGAATTGCAAGGAGGTTCTCGGAGTCGCCCCCGTCTATAAGGACGTTGCGATCCCCACCGGGCCCCAGACAACAATCGACGCCCGAGGCAATATTGCCTATAAAGAGGTGCCTCGGGCGAGCGCCAGGAAATTGGAGCATTACGTCAAGCAGATGGCTGAGGGCGGTCCCATCTCTGAATACAGTAACCGGACCAAAGTGCAGAATGACCTCAAGAGTGTCTACAAGCTGATTCGTAAGCAACATCGCATGTCCAAGTCATCCCAGCTTCAGTTCAATGCGCTTTACAAGGAAGTCATTCGCGCTCTCAGCATGAACGAGAACCAAATCATGCCACAGGAGAATGGCCACGCCAAGAAAGCTGGTCGGAACGGTGTCAAGCGCAATGGCAGCCCTAGAGCTGGTAAGGTGGAAACTATACCTTTCCTGCACCTCAAGAAGAAGCATGAGCACGGGTGGGAATACAACAAGAAGCTCACAGGTATCTACTTGGACGTGCTCGAGTCCGCTGCTCGGTCGGGGTTGACCTTCCAGGGCAAGAATGTCCTGATGACCGGTGCTGGTGCTGGCTCTATCGGAGCTGAGGTTCTGCAAGGTCTGATTAGCGGTGGTGCCAAGGTGATTGTAACAACAAGCCGATTCTCCCGGGAAGTCACCGAATACTACCAAGCCATGTATGCTCGTTATGGCGCGCGTGGTTCTCAACTCGTGGTGGTGCCATTCAACCAAGGCAGCAAGCAGGATGTGGAAGCTCTGGTCGACTATATCTACGATACAAAGAAGGGTCTCGGCTGGGACCTGGACTTTGTCGTGCCGTTTGCCGCAATTCCGGAAAATGGCCGGGAAATCGACTCTATTGATTCTAAATCTGAACTTGCCCATCGCATCATGTTGACCAATCTTCTGCGACTCCTGGGTTGCATCAAGGCCCAGAAGCAGACCCATGGCTTTGAGACTCGACCAGCACAGGTCATCCTTCCCTTGTCTCCAAACCACGGCACCTTTGGGAACGACGGTCTGTACTCTGAGTCCAAACTTGCTCTGGAGACGCTCTTCAATCGCTGGTACTCGGAGAATTGGAGTAACTACCTCACAATTTGTGGTGCAGTCATTGGATGGACACGTGGCACAGGCTTGATGAGCGGCAACAACATGGTCGCTGAGGGTGTCGAGAAACTCGGCGTTCGCACCTTCTCGCAGCAAGAAATGGCGTTTAATTTGCTCGGCCTGATGGCGCCTGCAATTGTCAACCTTTGTCAGCTCGACCCGGTCTGGGCTGACCTCAACGGTGGCCTTCAATTTATCCCCGACCTGAAGAGTCTCATGACCAAGCTCCGCACAGACATTATGGAAACAAGCGATGTTCGCCAAGCGGTTATCAAGGAAACTGCAATCGAAAACAAGGTTGTCAACGGTGAGGAAAGTGAACTCCTATACAAGAAGGTGATCGCAGAGCCTCGTGCAAACATCAAGTTCCAATTCCCCACTTTACCAGACTGGGAGCAAGACGTGAAGCCTTTGAACGAGAGTCTCAGGGGTATGGTCAACCTGGACAAAGTTGTTGTCGTTACCGGTTTCGCTGAAGTTGGTCCTTGGGGTAACTCCCGTACCCGTTGGGAAATGGAGGCTTACGGCAAATTCTCGCTTGAGGGCTGCGTTGAGATGGCCTGGATCATGGGCCTCATTAAGCACCACAACGGCCCACTGAAGGGCAAGGCCTACTCAGGCTGGGTCGACGCGAAGACTGGTGAGCCAGTTGATGATAAGGATGTCAAGGCCAAGTACGAGAAGCACATTCTGGAGCATTCTGGCATTCGACTCATCGAGCCCGAACTCTTCAAGGGCTACGACCCCAAGAAGAAGCAGCTTCTTCAGGAGATCGTCATCCAGGAAGATCTCGAGCCTTTTGAAGCTTCGAAAGAGACTGCGGAGGAATTCAAGCGCGAGCATGGCGAGAAGGTCGAAATCTTTGAGCTTCCAGAGTCCGGAGAATTCACAGTCCGCCTTAAGAAGGGAGCGACCCTTCTCATTCCTAAAGCTTTGCAGTTCGATCGCCTCGTTGCTGGCCAGATTCCCACTGGCTGGGATGCAAAGAGATATGGTATTCCTGACGATATCATAGAGCAGGTTGATCCTGTAACTCTCTTTGTACTTGTTTGCACAGCTGAAGCTATGCTGTCGGCTGGTGTCACTGATCCTTATGAATTCTACAAATATGTGCACCTGTCTGAAGTTGGAAACTGCATTGGTTCGGGCATTGGCGGCACCCATGCTTTACGAGGAATGTACAAGGATCGATACCTGGACAAGCCCCTCCAGAAGGATATTCTGCAGGAGTCTTTCATCAACACAATGAGCGCCTGGGTTAACATGTTGCTCCTCTCCTCTACCGGACCAATCAAGACCCCTGTGGGTGCATGCGCCACTGCTGTGGAGTCTGTTGACATCGGGTATGAAACGATTGTTGAAGGCAAGGCCCGAGTTTGCTTTGTTGGCGGTTTTGATGACTTCCAAGAGGAAGGTTCATACGAATTTGCCAACATGAAAGCCACCAGCAATGCGGAGGATGAGTTTGCTCATGGCCGTACCCCGCAAGAGATGTCTCGACCCACAACTACCACACGTGCTGGTTTCATGGAGTCGCAGGGCTGCGGTATGCAGCTCATCATGAGTGCCCAACTTGCCCTAGACATGGGAGTGCCTATATATGGTATCATTGCCCTGACTACGACAGCAACTGACAAGATTGGCCGCTCTGTTCCGGCCCCCGGCCAAGGCGTTCTGACCACTGCACGAGAAAACCCAGGCAAATTCCCCTCGCCTTTGCTGGATATTAAGTACCGTCGCCGCCAGTTGGATCTGCGTAGGAAGCAGATTAAGGAATGGCAAGAGTCCGAACTGCTCTATCTTCAAGAAGAGATTGAGGCCATGAAAGCGCAAGGGCTTGCGTCATCTGACCTATCCGATTACATGCAGGAACGTGCCCGGCACATTGAACGGGAGGCTGTGCGGCAAGAGAAGGATGCTCAATTCAGCCTGGGCAACAACTTCTGGAAACAAGATTCTCGTATTGCGCCTCTGCGTGGTGCACTTGCTACTTGGGGTCTTACGGTCGACGATATCGGTGTTGCTTCGTTCCACGGTACTTCTACGGTTGCAAATGACAAGAATGAGTCCGATGTCATCTGCCAGCAGATGAAACATCTGGGCCGTAAGAAGGGAAATGCCGTTCTTGGTATATTCCAGAAGTACCTTACTGGTCACCCCAAGGGTGCCGCCGGTGCATGGATGTTCAATGGTTGCCTGCAAGTTCTTGACAGCGGCCTGGTACCTGGCAATCGCAATGCAGACAACGTTGATAAGGTCATGGAGAAGTTCGATTACATTGTTTATCCCAGCCGTAGCATCCAAACGGACGGAATCAAAGCGTTCTCCGTCACGTCTTTCGGTTTCGGTCAGAAGGGTGCTCAGGTTATCGGTATTCACCCCAAGTACCTCTACGCGACCCTGGATCGCTCTCAGTTCGAGGCGTACAAGGCGAAGGTTGAGTCTCGCCAAAAGAAGGCGTATCGCTTCTTCCATAATGGTCTGATCAACAACAGCATCTTCGTTGCTAAGAACAAGGCGCCCTACGAAGATAACATCCAGAGCAACGTTTTCCTCAACCCAGACTACCGAGTGGCCGTTGATAAGAAGACATCCGAATTGAAGTTCCCACCCGTGCCTCCAAAGGTCAGCGACAAGGATGCTGAGAGCACCAGACAGATGGTTGAGTCGCTCGCGAAGGCTCATGCCGAAGAGGACTCCAGGATAGGGGTGGACGTGGAGAACATTGACGCCGTCAATATTGAAAATGAAACCTTCATCGAAAGGAACTTCACTGCCAGTGAGCAAGAATACTGTCGCAAGGCACCATCGCCACAGTCATCATTCGCTGGCCGGTGGAGCGCCAAAGAGGCAGTTTTCAAATCGTTGGGCGTGTGCAGCAAGGGCGCCGGTGCGCCTCTGAAAGATATCGAAATCTTGAGTGATGCAAGCGGAGCCCCTGTGGTCAACGTAAGTTTATCCCATTCTGATGACCGCAGGTTCTTAACCTACCACTAACATTTTCCTAGCTCCACGGCGCTGCAGCCGAAGCTGCCAGGCAAGCTGGTGTTAAACAAGTGAGCGTCAGTATCAGTCACAGCGATTCTCAGGCTGTCGCGGTGGCAGTCTCGAAGTTCTAATGTTAATGTATGCAAGATACGGTGATATTATTGTTCGTGTCGATGAATAGAGTATACTACTATGTTATGGGATATCATGTAATTAGATGCTTTTAAGTGATTGATTCCAGTGATTTGAGATCATGTTCTTTTGCTTTCATAGGTACTTAAGAAAGAGATCTATACTGACTGCTTCGCCTTAAACTCTCAGCTGACGAATAATGTAACTCTCACACAGATACGTGTACAAGACCTGAAATCTTAATGACGACCCATCCGCCGACATTGCAAAGTGGATATCTACAATTGTCAACATATTTTTTTCTTTAGATTTTTCACCTTTCCGAGTGCTTCTATGCAGTGATTACACTCCCATATGATAAGTCACGTGTGTTGGCCTGTGATTATCCACATCACGTACTCTTCAACAGGGGAAGATTTGAACACCCTTCCCGTGGCTTTGTGTTCTGGTCGATGCCATCTCCTTCTAGTTGAAAGACTAGATGTACATTTCCGAAAAGTGAAGTCACTGAACTAATCGCAGAATGTTCAGTTCAGGGCCGAGTGGATTCCATAGCAGCAGACTCCCAGAAGTACATCGGTTCCAACTGGCGCGGACGATCTTCACATATATGTATGCCAGATGACATGTGATTTAGCATTATATCGAGGACAATAGGGTGCGTTGGCAAATGTTCTCACTCTCACGCTATAGTACAGGTGGCTCAGCCAAGATGGTATTCAAGAATCATCCAGACGCCCGGTTGAGAGGGCCCCAATTAGCCCGAGGATTGATTTGATACCGGACAAGCCGTTTCTTGGAATGAGACGCCTCTCTGCCCAGGGCCTCATCAAAAACGACCTCTAACGTGCTCAGATCTTGCTTAACTGCAGGTGCTGTCTGTGGGGGCTGGGGCCCTTCGGCCTGCTGACGCAGCTCCGCGCTTTGAATGCGGGGAGGGTGTCTATGGCTAGAGCGGTAGATCGCAGCTTCGACTTTCGTCACTAGGTCACTGATATCCTTTCCACTTTCAGCCGCAGACGTGAGCTCTTTCCTCAATATATCGAATGAGTCTTCTCCTTTATCTTTTCGAGAGTTTTCTCGACTCCTCGCCATGATCGCCGCTCCAGGAGTGCCAGGGCGGATTGCCCCTTCTTTGACAGGGGCTTTTTGTCTCACCCACTCTCTCATGATTTCCCAAATGACGTCCCAGGGTGCATCTGTACGAATGGTATTTGGCTTTGCATGACTGCGCGTTGATCGGTAGCCCAGGGAACGGAGAGCTCCGCGGAACGCATCGGCTGATATAGTTGACGTGTGTAGAACTTTTGCCAGAGAACTCAGAGTGAAATAGAACGGAAACGGATCCCGGAGGGCCGGATCCGACCGAGGAATAATGGCCGAATATTCACGGGACGTAGACACTTCCGTGAGCTCCTCCTCGGCTGCAAGGGTGCCCGTCGGGGCAGAACTCGAAATTGTGTCCAGGTTCAAATCCTCTTCAAGAGCTGTGGTTAACATGCCCTCGATGCGCTCGACGGTATGGTAAATATCTCTATCGACATCGGGGAGCATGTCAAGAATCTTCTGGATGAAGTGAGGGTTATGGAGTGGCCCAGCCCACATCGGGCCGCCCACATGAGTTTTGAAGCCACAATGTTCACAATGTGTGCCTGCAGTAGGCCCTTGAGCGAACCCATAGTGGTAGTAAGGATTCCCTTTCTTGTCCAATTTTTGTTTCGTCTGCGTCAGAGGCTGGGTTGTCCATGCTCCGCAACCAGAGTCGCAGTTGAAAACTAACATTGTGTTACCTGAGGTAAACTTGACCTCTGCTGGCGATCGATGAACACGAACGAAGACACGTGCATAGAAGTCGATAGACAAGGAGAGAAGCGGTTCGATTGCAAGTCCATATTTCGCGGCCGACGTCGCCAGTCCATGTAGTATAAGGCGCAGTCCACCTTCGTGAGAATGCGATCCTTTGATGGGGACACCTCCGTACAAGGCATATGCCTTTTCTGGGTAACCGTTGGATGCCCATACGCCCGCATCGGTACAAGTGACACAGAGAAGGCCACCGTCTTTGACACCTTGAACAGCAGCATCCATAAACGGAGCCGCGGTACCGTAAGGATCTAGGTCGATGACATCAAACTTGCCCGCGTGAGTTCCGCTACTTTGTGTGCTTGGTTGGTTTAACTGGCTGTACATGTACGCACGTGCATCCCCGAGATTGGGTCTAATGAGCTTTCCAAGACCGTTGTATTCGATGTTCGTCTTCATCCTCTGAATCGCAGAGCTTGACAGGTCATTCGCAACCACGCAGGTAGTGAAGGGAATTTCTGAGGCGTATCGTAGAGCCCGGAGACCCGTAGCGGAGAGCGCGTCCAAGATTGTGAAGGACGGGGTCTGCTGATCAGAGGTTGAAACAGAAGCACCGATATTTCCATTCGCCGCAGACGGTTGCTCGACGTCTCCCTCATCTTGTTCCTTGTCCTCTTCGTCTTCCCTCTTGCGCTTTTTCCCCCTGCTGGGGCCGTTCCGTTTCCTCTCGGCTTTCAGCTTCTTGAGGGCCAGCACATGCTCACCATAGGCCTTGATCGCCAACACACTGAGATCCCGGTTGAATTGCTGGATTGGATTGTAGAAGACAGATTGCAACTGGTCTTCAGGTTTGAGGTCCTTTTTCGTCCCCTTGGAAGCTGCAGCCTGGGTCGGCGGGTTCAGAATGTATGCTCGACCTTCTTTCACAGCCTGGTATTCCTGTCCATCATGCTGCACCAGTCGACTGGCGCCATCGGCTGCTGTTGGATCGTCCATGAGTGAAGATGCGGAGTGATGAAATCGGGGGAAAACTATGCCTGAGCGACGGTGGGTCACTGCATATATCGTCGAGGGATGCGAAAAGCCAATGAACTCGGGTCTTATGTTTCCAACGATAGATTGGAATATTGTCAAGCTTTGAAACCGTCTTAGTGAACTCATCCACATCGGCTTCGAGCTAGCAAGAGTTAAATCAGGCCCATTGACAAGCTTGAGGTCCGCAGGCTCGTTGCGGGGAGCAGAAGCGTAAAGAAAAAAAGGTCAAGAAAATGTCTAACGCACGGACCCGACAACCTTCGGGATAACCATATAAAATGCAACAGTGAACACATGGGTCATATCTTCTAACTGAGGATTATCTGCCTGTCAGTACGGAAGATTGAGTCTATTATATAGTCTGTATTCGACTATTGCGGCAGAACACGTACTGCAATGAATATGTTGACATATTATTGATTATATTTCCTACTAGTATACACACCCTCCGAGAGTAGTCGCCCCAGAGCCTGTCAATTATACACAATAAGATTAGGTCATAACCAGGCCCCAATGATGGGCACTCGGTCATACATACCATCCCAACTGCTCGCTTCCCAACCGGATCCTCGTCCTCCAAGTCCGATGATTCCAAGCGCGCCTGCAAGCCAAACAGATGCTCCTACCACTGCAATGCCATTGACAATCCACCAGATCTTTCTCTGCTTCCTCATTCGTTGCTCGCTGTCTGCGTGGCCGAGGTACCCTTCGAGTGAGCCCTTTTTGTGTAGTCGTTCCTTTCGGGCGGTGGTGACTCTCCACCCCATCCAATTTGCCCACCCCCCAACGATATGCCATACTCCAACGGCGACAAATATCAAATAGTAAACGTTCCAGAAAACCGGGCTTCGCACAAACCCATGCGCAACGTAGCCAAGGCCGACTCCCGAGCTCCCACCGTCGACCATCAGCGGCACGACGCGGTTGACAAGAACATGGGCACCGACCAAGGGGACAAGCATATAGCCCAAGCGCGCTTGCAGGGTCATACGGGGCCAAAAAGTGAGTGAGTAACGTTGAGACCTTGTCTCGGCGCCGTAAAGTCGTGCCCTACGGGAAGAACGGATGTTCCGTAGGACGATTCCGGAAGCAACATGGGCCAGGATGGGAACGGTAAGAATGGCGTGCTCAAGAGATGGCGACTGGTACAAAGGCCTTGTGAGGAGGAGATAGTTTTCGGCGGCAGGCACGGAGCGGGTCATTAGAGGAATGAGCGAGGTATTGGCAAAGTGTAACGTGAGGAATAAAGTCGGCGGGTATGTGGAATATCTCTGAATGGCGGACACTGCAGGTTTACATATTAGCTTACACTTGACCGGCAGATGGACCAAAGCATTCTCTCTTCCAACATACACCAAGAATCCCAGTTATGCCCGCGGAGGCCCAGTTTGGGAAGATACAATCCACCATGTGGTGGAGCGTCTTGGGCCTTATGGAAGAAGTCGCCATTTTCAATATCACCAAACTCTTCAGAGACTGGAGAGGGATCCAATTCCTGCATGGAAACCAAGGATCGTGTGTCGACATCGTCGACTTTGGGCAACGACAGATCTTGAGGCGGCATTGTATATCACGAACGAAATATCTCTCTAGCTAAGAACGAGTCAGATGAATATTGCGATGAATATTAAACGGCTCATAACTTCATCGCATCGTCATTATCATGAGCAAGCCTTAGGTAGCATTGGGAGAGTGTCCGTCCTTAGGCTGTTGTATCTCCTACAAATGTCCTGTGCCTTGTTTTTTACTGCACTATCATTGGCTTGTCGGCTTTTCACCACTCAACCCAAACCAACCTTAGGTAACTATTGGGGCTATTTCAGGTATTTATCATGTCTGCCGGCGATTTGACAGACTATCAATACTCAAGATAGATACTTCAAGATCTATTCTGACATATTACAGTTGAAGAGGATATCCCCAGGTCATGAATCAGTCAAGGTGTCTGGTAGTTAGGTTGGAGTACGGCGGTGAGATATCCGGTACTTATTCTGTCGGCAGAATATAGTAATGATAAGATACTAAACTATCCATTCATGATAGACGTCGATGCCTTCCATTACCAATATATACCAGTTACTGAATCAACCAGTTGATCGCCTGCGATTCATCTCCTCCTATAGATCTCGTCAAGAATTTCTTCACCAATATTTTTTTTGTCTTTGAATTGACCTGTTGTATGAGGTCAGACTGCCATGGCACCGGTATGCTTCCTGAAATGCGTCTGCTTTAAACGGTTATCGAGTTAAGACCTTGATATCCAGTTTCGGAAACTTGAAATGCGAGGTTACTGATGTCTCACTCCTTCTATCTTGTCTGTACCAGAGAGGGTTCACAAATCCTACTCCCAAGGTAAATCATGACTTGAAATCCCAGCGCTGTTCAAATCTATTGAGAGACTGCTAAAAATTCCTTTTGCGCACAATTTCAGACTGAATCGGCCCGCTCTGCTTTGAGCTCCTTCACATGTACTCTTTGCAATAAATCTTACTCGCGCCATCCGGAATATGAAGCTCATATCTCTTCCTACGATCACCAACATCGCAAGCGCCTACAAGACTTGAAACAATTGTCGCGAGATCCTAATGCTGCTGAAAAGGCAAGGAGGGCCGAGAGAAAGGCAGATGCAGAGGCGGGACTAAGAGTAATCGGGACGACTCCCGCATCTGGAGCCGGGGGCCCCGGTGGGGGAGGAGGGTTTAAGAAAGGAGGATTCAAGAGCTCCTTTACCACGGTCAAAGGACCAGTATCTGCTACTGTGTCTACGAGGAAAAATGTCCTAGGAGATGACGATGACGACGACGCCGACCAACCGGTAGGAGCGGGTGAACCGAGCGAATTTGTTAGGAACAAACCCAGACAGGATACGGAAGCTCAGCGCGACAATGCAGAAAGCGATACTGACGAGGAGTACGCAAACGACGATACGGAGGCCAGTTACTATGATCCTCGCAAACCTACCGAGTGCTCGTCACCGTGCCCGGGGTTTCAGAATGAGCTTACCATAGCATGAACGATGTTGCTTTGCCACCGATTCGGCATAAAGCAGATGCAATAGGCGCTCCTCATGATTATGCTAGCATGTACTTCGGAGTTATGGGCTTTCTCTGTCTGAATGGGGCGATTTTATTCATGTACATAGTTATATTCTCGAGACAGCGTTGCTGGCCATGACATCTTCGTGCTTCAACCTGAGTTGGATGCAAATTCTGTAAGTATGTATGACGCTTTGGCCTCGCTATCATTTCTTGGTTACCAAGTACTTTTGTTACTATCGAAAGTCCCGTGGATCGAGAGGGTGGTAGCACAGAAAAAAATTGACAAAAGCTGAGAAATTGAGTTGGAGTCGATTCTCTAGTGTAGTTGTACAGTTTCGGATAGTTAATTTAGATTAAGAAACAATGGAAAGGCTTGCAATAGAGAAAGGGTACTAGACGCATGATTTTGATCCTCCAAATTCTGGGAACACCTCCAATTTATCGCATAAAGCCAGTTCACAGTCGTAGAAGCTTGGCAGCCTGGCCAACGATAGTATCCTCTTGAGGGAAGCTCATCTGCTCAAGACCAACAGCGTAAGGTGTAGGAACCTCGGCGCCGGTAACACGAACAGCAGGAGCAGTGAGATAGTCAAAACCATACTCCATGGACAAGGCGAGGATTTCGGACCCGACACCGAACATGGGGAAGCCGGATTCGACGCACATCAGGCGACCGGTCTTCTTGAGCGACTGAATGATCGTCTCAACATCGAGCGGCTTGACGGACCGAAGATTAATAACTTCAGCTTCGACTCCATATTTCTGCTTCAGCTCAGCAGCAGCGTTGAGTGACTGTCCAACGCAGCGGGACAGAGAAACAATGGTCAGATCCTTTCCAGGACGCTCGATCTTGGCTTTTCCAAGAGGAAGAACGAAGTCATCCTTCTGAGCAGCCTCGCTCATGGGGAATGCTTGACCATACAAAAGCCTAACCAGATGTCAGCTCAAGTCCGGCAACGTCAAGCGGTTCTGGCAGCACATACTCATTTTCAAGGACAACGACAGGGTTGGGGTCACGGATAGCGGCCTTCATCAAACCCTTGGCGTCCTCAGCACTCCAAGGAGCCACGACCTTCAAGCCCGGAATGCTGCCGTACCAGGCCGAGTAGTCTTGGGAGTGCTGAGCGGCGACACCAGCAGCAAATCCGTTGGGTCCGCGGAAAGTGATGTTGCAAGGCTGAATACCTCCCGACATGTAATGTGTCTTGGCGGCGGAGTTGATGATTTGATCAATGGCCTGCATAGCAAAGTTGAAGGTCATAAACTCGCACTGTAGATGTGAAGCACCCATCAGCCGTCCAGGTCTATCCACGAATAGGTAAACTTTCGACTCACGATAGGGTGCAGTCCAGCGAGGGCGGCGCCAACAGCCAAACCACAAAAGCCCGCCTCTGTGATGGGAGTATCAATAACCCTCTTGGGACCGAAGCGGTCCAATAGACCTCTCGTCACTTTGTATCTGTAGTGATAAGAACAAGGTCAGAAGAGAAGAATCACAGTGTAGCACGTCATTGCGATTGAAATATGGAGCAAAACCAAGTAGCTAAGAGAAGGTGATCCCATACGCTCCATTGTACTGCGCAACCTCCTCACCCAGGATAAACGTCTTTGGGTTACTCTCAAGCTCCTCCGCGAGGGCTTCGTTCAATGCGTCTCGGACAGTAACTTCCTTAGTGCCGCTTTCCGTCGCATATCCCCGAGCGCGTAGGATCGAGGGCGCACAGGCGGACTTCTGGAAAGTAGAGCGGAAGGGTGTAGCGGAAAGTCGAGATGAAAGCAGGCGAGCTGCTGGACGGAAAAGTCGGGGGGCAGCCATTGCCGTTTCAAAGAGTGTAATTCCGGGAGTGAAAAGAAGAAACGACTTCAGATAGCTTCTTCTGCGGATGAGGATGATGATGTGAAGGAGACTTGCGGGAAGAAATCAGCCCCAGAACCTCCTAACTCCGTGTCGGACCTGGCCGTCGATAAGTTTTTTGGTTTTTGGTGAGAGCTTCGGGACTGTTGGGCTAGCGATGACTAAGCGCCGTCCTCACCGGCACCTTCTTCCGTATTATTGTTTATCCATGGCCATCGTGCAAGTATAGATAGCTATCTATTACTATCTCGTTTGGACGGGGAAACGAGCTGCAGCTCACTGATTCCATCCATAGTCATTTGATGGTGTGGGTCATTGCGCTGACCAGGATGAAGTACCTTGCTTACTGGGCTCTTCTCATTTCATCTTCACCCTGCCTAGCTATTCAGCCGTCAGCTCCAGATGCCATACCGGCGCCCATTCGCGATCTCCAATGGGGTCAGCTGAATTTCCTCCACACTACAGACACCCACGGCTGGCTGGCCGGTCATCTACAGGAGTATGGCTTTGCCATCTAATGTGCCATTGTTGATGCTCGCTGATGCAGATCGAAAAGGGCTTCCTATGGAGCAGACTGGGGAGATTATGTCTCTTTCACCACTCGCATGCGGGAAAAGGCACTCGCTGAGGGGAACGATCTGCTGATAATTGACACTGGTGATAGGGTTGAGGGGAACGGTCTTTACGACGCTTCGGAACCAAAGGGCGCCTACATTTCCGACATTCTGCGTCAACAGCAAATTGATGTGATGTCAGCCGGCAATCATGAACTGTACAAGCAGAACACCTCGGAGACTGAATTCTTGACTATTGTGCCCAATTTTCGTGGTAGCTACCTGGCGTCCAACATTGACATCGTTCATCCAACTACCGGAGAGCTCGTTCCGTTAGCTCCACGCTTTAGAAAGTTCACAAGTGAGAAACAAGGCATCCGCATCGTCGCTTTTGGCTTTCTGTTTGATTTCACCAAAAATTACAACAACACAGTCGTTTATACGGTGGAGGATACAATTAAGACAAACTGGTTCCAAGAAGCCATTCGTGACGAAGAAGTCGATCTTTTCCTGGTGATAGGCCATGTTCCAGTTCGTTCGAAGGAGTACAACGCTGTTTTCGAAGAGATCAGAAACGTTAATTGGGATGTGCCAATTCAATTTTTCGGCGGCCATTATCATATCCGCGACTATGCTCGGTACGATTCTAAAGCGTACGGGCTGGCGAGCGGCCGCTTCATGGAGACCATTGGGTTTATGTCAATCGACGGTATGTCCACCAGCAAGAATCGGCTCAAGCCTGCTCAAGCAACTCCCAGCTTCAACCGACGGTACATTGATAACAACCTCTACTCGTTTCACCATCACACTGGTCATGATCGGGATTCTTTCCCCACAGAGCACGGTCGAAATGTATCACATCTTATTCAGCAGTCGAGGGATGCCCTTCAACTGGATAGGGTCCACGGTTGCGCTCCTCAGGACCTCTGGATGACCCGAGTAAAGTATCCTTCTCAGGACAGTATATATACGTGGCTCGAAAAGGAAGTGCTTCCTAGTCAAGTGAAGGATGACTCTCGCGATGGGAAGCCCGCGTTGGTCATTGTCAACACTGGAGCCATACGCTTCGACATATTTAAGGGTCCGTTTACACAAGATACGACATTCATCGTCTCGCCCTTTACGAGCGGCTTCCGCTATATCAAGGACATCCCCTACGAGAAAGCGCAAACGGTAGTAGAAATTTTGAACAAGCAGCCGCAAATCTTGACTGCGCCTAAGGATCACACAAACTTCACACCATGGACTCTTGCGCCGCCGGAGCAATCAATGCATATGCACGATAAGATTGTGGAAAGCGACGATGTGGCTGCTCATTATCTTACTGATCAGAGTCGGCTTCCAATGAGCACACAATTCACGCCTGAGGTTTTTCCTGGCTACACCACTGCAGATGATGGGGGTATAGACGGTGATGACACTGTTCATTCGCCAACATCATTCTACCGTGTTCCAAATTGCATTCAAGCTCTCATTTCTCCAGAGACGTCTGCCGATCCGAACACAGTGGATCTTGTGTATATTGACTTTATCGAGCCCTACGTGGCGCTGGCCGCCAAATTTGCGAGTCTTGATCTCGATTTTGCACGGGATAGTGACGTCTATATGCCATTCGAGACTTTAACTGATCTTATCTTGGACTGGGTCAAAAATAACTGGAAATGCGAAGATGCGTGATTCGGTTTCTAGTTCAGTTCAGATCACTGTTTGTGCCAATGGAATCAGTAAATGGTCTGAATTACTATAGCCTATTATGATTGCGTACATGCACTTAATATATTATTTATACCATCATCTCCAGGGATTATTCGTCCCCTTCGTATTTTAACAAGCCTTTACCTTTGCGGAATCCACTTAGAGTGTCCTGCACACCTGCAGCAAGCTCAGCGCCTTCGGTTTCCCAGGTCCATCTGATGTATTCCACCGGGATATCTTTGAATTTTCCGGCTCGAGTCAACTTCAGCACATCATTAATTGTGCTTTCCTTGAGCCCAGGGTGTTTATCTCCCCATCTGCTCACCCAGAAACCGTCGAAAACAAGGTTCTTGAAGATCAGAAGTCCAGATGGCAAGGCGACAGGCTGTTTCGACATGGCACCATAAGTGACCAGGTGTGAACCTGGAGCAAGGGTCTTCGCCAGGGCAGTGGCACTCTTACCGCCCACGCAGTTGAGGGCTAGTCGAATTGGCTCCTTTCCTTGGCGGGTGAATTCACGCACCATGTTCTTGAATTCTCCAGACAGCAGCTCGGATTCAGTAACCACTGCATTGGCCCCAAGGTCATAGAGCTCCTTTTTCAGAGCATCAGTTTCTTCGGGTGTCTTTCTCTCGCGAACAACATTGATCGTTTTGATGCCCCATTCGCGTGCAAGTTGGATTGCAGCTCGTCCAACACCGCTGTTTGCTCCGTTCTGGATGAGCCACTCTTCTCCGGCCCGCATCCAATCCCAGTCACAGAAGTCTTTGATCATTCGGTAGGCAGTCACCGGATTGACACTGACTGTGCTGACCTGAAGCGGGCTCAGACCTTCTTTGTTTTCAACCTTGATCACCTGTGATTCATCTAATTGTGCGTGGGTGCGCCAGGTGCCTTGTCCTGTCTGCTTCATTACGACCCAGTCGCCTTTGGCAAGATTTTTGACGTTGGAGCCAGTGGCAATGACCTCGAATGCGCCCTCGTTTCCCGCGACGGCAGACGGTTCCATTGTGCCCAGCGTGGTCTGGAACGGCGGTTTGCTTGGGTATACCCCTTGAATCTGATTCACATCGGCCGGGTTCAAAGGCGCCGCTAGAAGACGGAGAGTGACTTGTGTCCCATGAGGAGGAGAGATCGAATGCTTGTGAAGCCTGGATGAGGGAGGAAAACAAGTCAGGCTACCGATCTAATTTCCCAGCGGTTGCAATCTAAGTGATCTTACCGTAGAACATCCTTCGGCTCACCATATCGCGAATAGACTAGAGCCTTTGATTGCGTATAGCCATATGCTGAGATAAATCTCGTTTGCCCCAGACGCGTATCAGGTAAAAGGACTTGATGTTGGCCGGATGGCGCTGGAAAGCGAAGAGGCGAAGCTCTGCCTCTGAGGGCAAGGGAAACACCGGCACTGGAAGATCTGGTAGCTGATCTCACCACAGTACGGGAAAGCATAGTGACGTTTGGCGGTGTCAGGCCCTTCTTTGACTGTCAATTGATTTTAAAGACTCAGGTAAGGTCAAAGAGCCAGCTTCGTGTAGCAATTTTTATAATTGTTGTCGCTGGCGGCGTCGAAGAAAATCCGGATGACGTCGTCTCCTAGCCGTCGGGCCGAAGGAGGAAAGCTGCTCTTCGGCATAATAGTTGATACTCATTCTGGTTGCGCAAATTGTTGAACATTGGAATGCTATGTAAGAAAGAGTATGGACGGAGACACCATATCAGGCTCTTTATCACTTGATATTTCTTTGCTCGAGGACCTGGTGTGGCCTGGTTTGCGGGCGTCCGCGGTCGAACGTATATTTACAGGTTGGCATGCGCCGGTGCAAAGCGACTATCTAGAAAGGTAGTAGAATGATCAAATTCAACTTGGGTGAACCCATTCTCAGGCAAAATAGTTCTCTTAGTTCCCCAAACTCCGACAGCTACAGAGGGCTATTCCATGAAGCCGTGCCGACCAGATACCAAAACCTCGCGAGATTGCTAAAACAACCATCCCGACACTTCGCCGAAATGTTGTAAACTTCCTACCCGCCGCATTCAAATGTACCTTCAGTTTTCCGAGCCTCTATCGTCGCTATCCCTGCCACCACCTACCATCGCCGCTCAGGATATCTAAATGTCCTTGTTGCGGGAAGCTGAGAAATGTATCACTAACCAAAGGTCACACGCCGCTCTCAATGCCTTCATAACCACTGTGCAGCATTCAGGACCATGGCGAGAACAAGTGAGAGATGCAGAAGTTAGGAGAGAGTCGGGTAAGATCGCAGCAGCTTTTGTCCTGTTTTCGCTCTGGCTCATTCGGGCACTGACGCATGCTTTTTGAGACTAAAGGGAAATCAAAATCAGAGGTCGATGGTCGCTTGATTGCCTTCAAAGACAATATTTGCACACGCGATTTTCCGACAACATGTGCCTCCGGGATTCTAGCCAAATTCGCCAGTCCATTCAATGCGACCGTGGTGGAACAGCTGTCGGAAGCCGGCGCTATAGTAGCTGGTAAGACGAACTTGGATGAATTTGGGATGGGTTCTCATTCTCTCAATTCGTGGTTCGGCCCCGTCAAAAATCAGCGTCAGTACCAGGAAGGACGAATCCTCTCAGCTGGTGGAAGTTCTGGTGGAAGCGCCGTCTCCGTTGCTACAGATCAATGCTATGCGTAGGTGGTTTCGCTCCTAAATCAGTTGAACTTCCTTAGGGGGCATGCCTGGAGTGCTGAACAGTGCGTTATAGGGCTCTTGGAACAGACACTGGTGGTTCGGTTCGACTTCCAGCTGCCTACACGGGCACAGTCGGCTTTAAGCCGTCTTATGGATTGGTCTCGAGATGGGGGGTCGTGGCATACGCTAACTCACTGGATACTGTTGGCATCCTGGCCAAAAATGCCTCGACGGCTCGCGATGTATTCCGTACGCGTCTCTGCGCCTCCCTGTCTCGAAATGTGTGCTCTTGCATTGGAATCTAACTGCTCGGACTCAGGCATTGTGAATCGGCATGATCCACGCGATCCGACAAACTTGTCTCCACGCTCTCGGTCTCGCATAGCTTCGCACCTCCAGCAACCCGCTCTGTTGTCTAGAATGACCTCGTCTCTGAGGATCGGCGTTCCTATTGAGTACAACATATCGGAACTCTCTCCATCGGTCCGACGCGCCTGGGCTCTCTCGATAGCTTTCCTGAGAGAGCAGGGTCATACAATTCACCCCGTCTCACTCCCCACAACAAAACTAGCTCTCTCAGCATATTACGTCCTTGCCCCAGCCGAAGCATCCTCAAACCTCGCCAAATATGACGGCATCAGATACGGTTCCCGCTGCGACGGTCCGGATTCTGGTGGACAGCCTGACAGCTATCTATATGCCAAAACTAGAGGGGACGGGTTCGGTCCCGAAGTGAAGAGGCGTATCCTACTCGGCGCCTTCAGTCTGAGCGCCGATGCCATAAATAATTACTTTATTCAGGCGCAGCGCGTCCGCAGACTTGTCCAGCGCGATTTCAATGCTGTCTTTAGAGCAGAGCAACCGATGGCCCCTTCGCGCCTCAAAGGAGATGCTGAGTTGAAATCAAAACAGGCAGAGGTCGATGTCCTGATCTGCCCTACCGCCCCTTCATGTCCTCCACAGTTGGCAGATCTGGTTGAAACAGATTCCATTTTCTCGTCGCTGAACGCATACACGAATGATGTGTTCACAGTGCCTGCAAGCCTGGCTGGTTTGCCAGCTGCGTCTGTTCCAGTCAGTGTTGACTGTTGGGATGAAGGTTCTAGCGATGCTGATCTTGCTGGAATTCAAATCATCGGACAATACGGGGACGATGAGCTTGTCCTTAAAGTGTCAGAGATATTGGAAGGCAAAAAATTTTGATGTAGTCTTGTGTTTCACCTCGATACCCATAATCAATCTCTAGTTGCGGACTACATAACTCATCCTAGACCAATTACAGGGGAGGTTCACTGTAGCGGAGCATGTAATATACATCATATTTGAACACCTTAAAACTCAAGGCAGAGATTGTAAACAGTATCAGCTGTACCTGCTCCGGCAATGCATTGTGGAAGTCTTCTGAGTTTCCACTCGTGCACATAGCGGCCTTGCTTCGTCCTTCGTCCGAAAAGGCATGCTTTGCTATTTCAGAGATCTCCAGACGGACTGAATCCGAAATGGCGGGAGACAGATATGGCTCGGAACAAGCGAGTCCCAGCCCGATCATGAGGAGAGGGCCTCGAAGTCATGACATCTCGACATCCTCTGTCGGGACTGTGTTCTCTAAAGGAGCTGAGGGTGTCGCAGGGTTGGGAGAACCCTCCTGGCCCACACTAAGAGTATCCTCGGTCGTCAAATGGCCTGCACCCGCGTTGGTGACGCCAGCTTCCAGTCCGTTGGAAATATTTTCGGTGTCAGCCAATTCCGCCGCGCCAGGGACTGAATCCAACCGAGGATCAAACGCTGCCCCGACTCCGCCCTTCAGAACTTCGGAGCCCCCAACAGCACCGGCGCCAGCACTGTCAACTTCCGCATTGCCAACAACATCACCGTCAACACCGCCCCATATGAGCATTGCTTCGACCTCATCAACAATATCGGCCACGACGTCTTCGGCAATCTGCTCATTGAAGCGTTCGCCAATGCCCCTGACAGGTTCGCCATTCCCTGCGTGAGACGGTGGCCCAACCCACCATGGTCCTTCAAAGCGACATTCCACGGCACCGCCGCCATAGCAGCTGACAGCGGGGTAGTAGCCAATCATTCCGTCATCGGCGTTCTCTCGCTCACCAATGCCCAAGTTATTGGTTCCATTTGCAAGTCGGCTGGCCGGTGGAAGGAACGCATATAATTCTTTGAATGGAGTACCCATCTTCTCCCCGTTTTTGAAGATTGTGATGCTCGAACCTGGCAGCGTTCGTAGCGAAGGGTCTTCGCTGTTGAACGGCGATGGTGGACCAAATGTGGGTGTCTCCTTGAGGTTGAACGCATAATCGCGTAGATGTTTTGTGGAAAATACGTTTGACTGCTGCCAGCAGAAATCGGACTTATAGTGGAAGGGAATGCGATCCCGAATAAAATTTGTCGATGTGTGAGCCTCTGATGTCGGCGAAGTCCCATCTCCGTCGACAGCAGGGTCATATGTCCCCTCGACTACTTTCTTGTGGAGGGACAGTGGTGGAAGCGTGATGAGCATGCCGATAACATCCCCTTCGCGAATTGACTCGCCTTTCGGGAAAAAGTACTCGCAGCGCATTCTATTGACCACCTCGCCGTTTACATCACGGATTCCGTATCCGTAGCAGTCAACACCCACGTTCGCATCGAGATCAGCCTCCCGTCGTGCAAATCCAAGACGGACGTGGCCCTTTGGCGTGCCTTGAGAAGATTCGTTAGCCGAGATAGATTGCGAATTATTAGGAATCCCGTTGATCACGCGCGCCTCGTAATAATATGCGCCCTCGCGAGCACATACATTAGCACGCGCAGTATGCCATGCGCTGCTGGCTGTTACCGCGCGCGCATCCTCACTGAAAAAAATCGCCGCGGGCGAATCCTCAAAACTGAACCGGGCATGATAAGGGGGAACGTCGGTCTGCCGGTACTTGATGTGCGGAAAGCCTGGATCGGCTATAGCATAGCTATAACGAAAGCCATTCTTATTTGTGAGTTTGTCAACAACCTCATAGAAGTCCCAGCTCTGGCCGAGCACGTCTGATGTTTTGCGGTTCACAAAACTCAGTTGACGAGGCTGCGGCGGTAATAGGTCCGAAGCTCTGGGTTCGGCAAGTAATAGGGGTCTGAGAATGCTGATATCGGAGCTCGGAAGCGCGGAGTTCGGGGCAACCGCTGCTTTCTTCTTAGGCGGGATGGATTCCTGGTCGAGACCCTTGGCCTCTCTTTTCTTCCGGCTATCGCGTTTGTTGCGTTTCGATCTTGCGCCATCAGCTTGTACCGATGCATTGCTGGGAGGGGCAGGCGAGGATCGTGCGTTGTGGCCTGTGGCTGTACCACTAAAGAAAGGTGCGGTCCCTGGAGGTAAAGTCGGAGAATTGATGTTGGACGAAGGGCCAGACGACCCCACCGGCTGTATAGACGCCATGCGGACGTCAATAATGGTTCACGAGTAAATTGTAACCTGATTATTGGCAACAACAGGCGCACTGTGCGCGGCTCAAGTCAAATAACGCGACTCAATGCATTATCCGTTTGTCTAACTGCGGGCTGCGCGGGACAAGCAGCTGACGCGAGGACCTTGTTGCGTGGGAGAAAAGAAGAGTTGAAAATATGGCTTGAAGAGACAGCCTATATTTTACGCCCCGCAGTCGGTTGGAATCCAGGAGAATGTGATCACGTTCACGTAGAACTTAGGTAGGAAACTATAAGAGAACATCCGCGCGTTAGACTACTGATAGGCTGCAACGCAAAGGGAAATACTGAATCTCGGCGGACCTTGCAAAGATAAATATCTCCAAGGAGTGTAAGAGCAATTCAAGCCAATGAAAATCTCCTCTCACAGCTCTGCTTCCAATCCTTAATGGATTCAAGATCCTGATGTAATCTCCGATTCCGCTGGCAAGGTGTGATAGAACGAGTCTCCAACAACTTAACGTGCGAAGGACGGACCTGAAGCTAATGATAAAGGGTAAATAAACCGTCTCAGTATGATAGTCTTGATTGAGTAATATAGGTCCTTGTCACCAAGAAGATATGAACCCATCCCTTTAGTATTCAACAAGGGCGAGATTGGAGAGCAGAGGTCTGGAGATATGATGTGAAAGCGGTCAACATAAAAACTCCGGCAAAAATCATAGTGCCCAAAGCCATTACTTCAACCTTTGCTTCTGTGGAGCGGGGCACAGGGCGGTGGCATAATTGATTATTTACGTGAAGTATTTTCAGGCGGTAAGCTCCAATCCTCTCAATGTAACTGGGAGATTTCTCCAACTGTTCTGGCAGAAAAAGTCCCTAAGTCACATGATCTTGAAATTTACACACGCATTGATGTGAGAGGAAAAAAAAAAAAAAAAATAATAAGAGTTCTAGACGTCACTTTCAGCTTCACTATAATTCCCTCTTCGCTTGGGTACGAGGTAATTTAGTCTGCTCTTAATGCCCTAGGAGCAACAACTGATATTCCTTTGGATATCCAAAAGTGAAAGCCCACCATGCCCAAAGTAACATCTTCTCGAGCTGCAGCAGCAGCAGCCCGCAGGCACAATCCTCTGGCCGAGGATATCATAACCTCGGGCCATCTACGAACCCAATCCAGCAAGAAGAGCAAGCGTCAAGGGCGGCAAGATGAGGATGGTGAAGATGGCGAGCGGTACATTGACGCGAAGATGACGAGAAAGATCTTACAGATTGGGCAAGAACTGGCGGAAGAAGATGCCGCCGAGCACGAAGCTGCAATGGGTGCAGCGAATATGGCAACTAATTCAGCCTTTGATTTTGAGTCGAGATTTGAAGATGATGAAGCTTTATCCGACGATGACGAGAAGTTTCGCGAAGACCAATGGGGTGATGAAGAAGAGGAGATCGAGGAAGTGGTAGGTGGTCTCCGCTCAAAGAAATATAACTTTCGTTCGTTTAATAATTTCGCCTTAGGAGGTCGATCCAAATGACCTTGATATGTTTAACAAATTTATCCCGGGTGGCGACGAAGATCCTATATTCAATCCTCGAGGAACCGATACAGGTCGGAGCACAAACCTGGCCGATCTCATATTGGAGAAGATCGCAGAGCATGAAGCGAAGCAGTCCGGTAATGGTGGACCCATGATTCAAGGTGGAGGATTACCCGAAGATGCCGTTCAGATACCCGCAAAAGCTGTTGAAGTCTACGAAAAGTGAGTATATTCGTCTCATCCATTCGCATGGTCATTGTGCTGATGGTCTCTACCAGAGTCGGCATGATACTGTCTCGCTACAAGTCAGGGCCTCTTCCCAAGCCATTCAAGGTTCTCCCCTCTGTCCCCAATTGGCCAACTCTCCTCTCTATCACTCGCCCCGAGTCGTGGACAGCGAACGCTGTTTATGCCGGGACTAGGATTTTCATCTCATCGAAGCCAGCCGTTGCACAGGAGTTCATATCGACAGTGCTCCTTGACCGCGTTCGAGAGGAGATTCACGAAACAAAGAAATTAAATGTTCACACCTACAACGCTCTGAAGAAAGCGCTGTACAAGCCAGCTTGCTTTTTCAAAGGTCTGCTGTTCCCGCTGGTATCAAGTGGTACTTGCACCCTACGGGAGGCGCACATCGTCTCTTCTGTCATCGCACGTGTATCTATCCCAGTATTGCACTCTGCGGCTGCTCTACTTCGCATGTGCGACCTCGCGGCAGAACAGTCTCTCAGATCTCTCGAAAGCACGGGTGCAGTCAATGTCTTCATCCGTGTGTTCCTCGAGAAGAAGTACGCGCTTCCATATAAGGTGATTGACGCTCTCGTTTTTCATTTTCTACGCTTCCGCGCTTGCGACAATGCCGAGGACTCGATGATGACCGACGGACCGTCTGGGGCTGCTACGAAAGCATATAAACTTCCTGTTCTTTGGCACCAGTCATTATTGGTCTTTGCCCAACGTTACCGCAACGATATCACTGAAGATCAGCGTGAAGCTCTCCTTGACCTGTTGTTAGTTCGGGGGCACAAGGATATCGGCCCCGAGGTCAGACGGGAACTGTTGGCAGGTAGAGGACGCGGCGTGGTTGTACCCGACCCAGAAAAGCAGGGCGCTCTCGACGCTGGCGATGACACGATGGATGTCACGTTTTAGGCAAAGGCATTGACTCAGTTGAACTGTCTTGCCGTGTTTTCTGTTCATGAATTTTCTGTGACTGCGATGGGCGTTCGGGGTGTTCAGAAAAAATGATTCTTTTGCATATATTCCCGGGGCGCTTGGAAATCTTATCATCAATGCTACCATCGCTCTTTTTGTCTAGAGGGTAGTACTGATAAAGGGTAACAAGAAATTTTTTCACTACTGTCAATATGATCCGCGTAGGTAATAGAATATGCATTCAGGTAGTGGCTTCGCCATCACCTGTCTCATCACGTTGAGGAATTCACAATGGTATGCCCCATGATGCAGCCCATTAGCCATCATACAAAGTACTATTCCTCCTGCTTATCTTGTCCCCTTAATATTCTCATGATTGATTGACGAACAAAACGTCGGTATTCCCTGGAATTTTCATGGCAGCGAGCGTATTAACAGCCCTTGGCACATGAGAGTGGCCACCTGAATATTTAACAGTACTAATTTCAATCAGTTCTGTAACAATGCATTCATAGCAAACTTGCCATGTACCGGAATGGCTAATAAGGCTGAGACTGCGATACTAATACACTGAGGTTAATATCCTCAGACATTGTACATGCCGTTGATGATATCCCAGCATGCAGCATGTTGTACTTTGAGCATTGGGCTCCTGGACTCCCTTGTCGCCCGCAGCATATTTCTTTAGCATAATCAAGTACCAATTCTGTTGAATGCATCAACATCATTCATTTCAGTCTCAAGGGTGGAAGAGTATCCTGGAATAACGACTACCTTGAATGTCCTTTACTCAGAGTCCAGATGGGAAGAGACTTTATTTACGGAGTACGGAGTTGTGGACTTTCTTGCAATTCCAAGGCCTCATGAAGCAGAATAAGACAACATTAAAGCACTTAGACAGACGGGATACATAGGTAATCCTCTGGATATACTCCGTAGAATAGCGGAGAACAATTCTCTTTCCAACGTTCGGAGTGAGTTCGGAGCGCCTACGTTGCAGACACATGGATATGTGGTAGTACCATGTGGTATCCACCTGCAGTACGGAGTAACTCCATACATCTATCTGGTTCTCTACAGTTCAGTTCTCCTTATGTAGTCTGCCTAGACTAGAGAGTGTCATTGGAATATGGGAAATTGTTCTCCGCGAATGAAGTGGGACACTTTGTGACTCAACAATACGAGCCCTGATATTAATAGCAGTGCTCCAGAGGTGCCAGACTACTGATCAGGAATGGCTACGGAGTACCTCAATCTCTCTGACGCGCCGTAATCCACAGTGGGGTCGCCACCAATCTACGGAGTACCATTAACTCCCTCACTTACCTGGGTAATTGCGACACATTTATGAGGAGTATTTGACTATCGAGCGTTCAAGCATTGATAAAATAGTCTCGTGCTGGTTGGCAATCATCTAAGAAATTCCTAGTACTAATTCAATTAGTCTTTGTGGAATGTCTACCCGAGGGGTACGTTAAGTACTCCGTATGTACTTCGTACAGTATACAGAGGAAAGTGCACGATTCCGGACCCGCAGGATTTCTAACTGTGGTGTTTCAGATGGGACGTTTGACTCTGAACGGAGGCTTAGAGGGGCTGCATTTCCAGGGACAGCGACAGTGGGCCAGATTTGGTTCACTGTTACGCCGTACATTGCCCGCATTACAGTTCCAATACGGTCATTCTTGGCGTGTGCTCCCCGCCGGTGAGCCCTCGAGGTGTGGGATTCGCGTAATTTATGAAACATTACCGTAGTTATGCTGACGGAGGCAGCTCCGCCCCCTTGCTGACAGAACTGACCACGCTGGCCTTTTAAAAGAGTCACCTTTCCCCGTCACATCCCACCACCTCAACCAACTTCTGAACACTTGTCCTTTTGTTTCCTCTGGTCGTCATCCACATTACCATATCCCACCACATTGGCAGACCTCCGGTGCCTGGCTCCGGGTTTGACCGTTATGCCAACGTGGCTTTTTTCTTTCGTAAACCGGGCAAGTGGACGTCATCATCAGGCTCCTATCCCATACAAGGCGTGTTCTCTGCATCATCTTCCTGAGATACTCGCAGAGAGCTGCAAATACCTGTGATCTTGTCTACCAGATCGACCCATCACGCTTACAAAATGGAAGACAACTTCGCTTCAGTTGTAGAGTCCTTGTCTGGTACACCAGCACCGGCTATCCCGCTACTCACAGTCTCGCCTGCGGATACATCGTTGAATACGCCAGAGACCAAAGTGCAGGAGACAAAAACAGAGGAGAAGAAGCCACCTAAGAAACGGAAGTCATGGGGACAGGAGCTACCCATTCCAAAGACCAACTTGCCTCCAAGGTATGTTCTATTGCGTCCGACGAAATCAGCTGGGTCAGCTGGCTTACACTTCATAAAGAAAACGGGCCAAGACAGAAGATGAAAAGGAACAGCGTCGCATCGAGCGCGTTCTCCGAAACCGTGCGGCGGCACAGACGTCTCGCGAGCGCAAGAGACTTGAAATGGAGAAGTTGGAGAACGAGAAGATTCAGATGGAACAGCAAAATCAATTCCTTCTCCAGCGTCTGTCACAGATGGAAGCTGAGAACAATCGATTGAGCCAACAACTCGCCCAGTTGACTGCCGAGGTTCGAGGCTCTCGTAACAGCACTCCGAAGCCCGGTTCTCCTGCCACAGCATCTCCAACTCTCACACCTACCTTGTTCAAGCAAGAGGGTGATGAGCTTCCTCTTGAACGAATTCCATTTCCCACTCCCTCAATCACTGATTACTCGCCAACCCTAAAGCCTTCCAGTCTGGCTGAGTCCTCCGACGTGACACAACATCCTGCAGCGGTGTTGTGCGACCTGCAGTGTCAGTTGGCGGACTCGAAGGACCTGGAAGTGCCCTCCCGCTCTTTGACCTCGGCTCTGGCGTGGAACATGACGCTGCAAATGACATTGCAGCTCCTCTTTCTGACGATGACTTCCACCGCCTATTCAACGGTGATTCATCCACTGAGCCAGATTCTTCGGTCATTGAAGACGGGTTCTCCTTTGACATTCTCGACTCAGGAGATCTATCAGCATTTCCATTTGATTCTATGGTTAATTTCGACTCCGAGCCTGTCGCCCTCGAAGGCATCGAGCCGGCCCACCATCTTCCGAATGAGACTTCTTACCAGACTTCTAGCTTGCAACCCAGCCTTGGCGCGTCCACTTCGCGATGCGACGGGCAGGGCATTGCAGCTGGCTGTTAGTGAGAATGTCTCTCGGGGAACTTGGTCCGCCGGTGATGACGCGGGCCGACTGCACTGGGAGTCGTTGTTGACCTTGGCTTGGGCGATAGATCGCTTTGAGCGAACGAGAGGTCAAAGACGAATTCTCTTCGCGAAATTAGAGCGAGGTGCGCGGCGTGATACTTTGGGCAACCGCCACAGGAGTCCACGGAGTTCATGGAGTTCAAAGCGATTGAGCGAGACGTTGACGTCTCTGCTGATGGGTAAGGACCGATGAATTTTGGGCTGTAATATAGTGTATCTTTTCAATCGAGAGCAACTGGCAACTGAGATGCTGGTCGTTTCGCTGTTTCTCAAATTGATTCTCTTTTCCAAGTCGTTGTGTCGATCACGCTTCGTAGCAAGACATATTTATTATTTTCTGTAGCGTGTACTTTGTTTGTTAGGAATAGTGGCCACTTGATGTCTTCGTCAAGTTATTGGGAGGATCTTTTAGATTATCAACTACTTCGGAGATCGGGATGACGTTGCCGCGCCGCTTTGATAGTCCCACGGATTAACGCTATCCCCACGTCTCTCCTAATCGAGAACGTGAAGTCAGGACTGCATTGTTGCCTCCCGCCTTTCCGCCCTCCAACGAATCTGTCCATTCAGCTTCAACTTCTGTCACTTTCGCACTCTGGATACTTGTTAGCGATTTCGTATATCCTAATTCTAACGAGTTAACCTGTCATTGCACCCAGGCAAAATGGTTCGCAAGGATCCTATCTTCGAAGCCCGCACCAATGTCAAGGTGAGCTGGAATCTCCACCTGCGCGGAGCACTCTTACGTGCTGCGCTCTCAACTGTTGGAAAATAAACACCATATATCTGACGAATTCCTCCACTGCAGTTGCACTCGAACCGGCTTAAAAAGGAAGCTGCTCGCGCGGAGGCAACATTCAAGTCAGAAAAGGCAAAGGCGGACAAGGCTATGAAGAATCGCGAGTTTCAAATTGCCCGTATCCACGCGGCCTCTGCTGTACGAGAGAAACGACGACAAGTAACCCTCAGAGCCGAGGCTGCGCGGGCGGACGTCATTATAAATGAACTCAAAGCCGCTCAGAGCACTCGCGATACATCCCGAACCCTCGCTCTGGCATCAAGAGGCCTGGATGCGGCGTCGAAAAGTGTCAATCTCGAAACCTTGGTGTCTCATGCAAATAACTTCTTAGCGCGATCGGAAGATTTCAAAATCGCTAGTAGTGCGATAGAGGATGTCGCTCAAGGTGTCTCTATGCAAGAGTATGGTGCCGAGGGCGAGGCCGAAGTTGATCGTCTCATGGAACAGCTTGCAGACGAGGCGGGTGTGGACATGCGATTGGCGTTGGATGCTGATGCAGCACCCAAGGAAGATGTCAAAGAGCAGAAGCAGGCCGATTCGGAGCTGGAGGACGGCTTGGGAGCGAGACTACGTGCTCTCAGAGCTGCAAGCTGAAAGAAATGCTTGTCTCCCTTTTGTTACCTTTCAGCGCACCGTTAACAGCTGGCTGATTGCTTTATATGTTACAAGCGACGACCGAATGTTGCCGTCCGCGTGTAGCATCTATCAGACTCGATTTGCCCTGTTTCCTTCCGATGGATATTGACGAAGTTATGCCCCCCTAGTTTTTGATTATCCGTCATTCTCGCTCCCTGTATAAGTCCTCTTGCATCCGCTATCACGGCCTCATGTTCCGGCTTCTTCCAAGAACCATCTTGTTCGGCGTAGGCTTCGGTGATACTGAATATTGGTTTTTGATTCCCGCTATTATTTTTCTTCTTATGTCGTCGCCAAACTCTAGCTTCGCATCTTATTCTGCCTGTACTTTGTTTTCCGTAATGTATCCCGGAATACAAGCGGTCGCATAGAATCAAGATGACTTTAACTCTCCTTATTGATCAAGGGCGTTCAAGGACGTTGGCTGACCTGAAAATAACACTAGCACGCTCGAAGCCCGTGCCTCTTGTTGTACAGCTAGCACTCAATCACTGTCCAGCTTTAGGATTTCCTTTCTGCATTAGGGCTAAGGCGAGTAGCCCAAGGGTGCCGATGCGCTAGGGCACTAGATAGATACTGTATACTTGCATCGAAATGAAAGTGGCGCTCATTGCCATTCAAAAGACTTGTATTGCCACGATCCAACCTGCGTCTGCGTCTCTCTATGTGGAAAGTACTGAGCAAGTATTTCGACCAAAAGAAAGGGAAAAGTACTCCAGTGTCACCAGAACATCAACTAAAATTATGGAGTCATTGCTGTCTGCCAGAGTCCGCATGAGCGCATTGTTTGGCACATGGTACCTTTCTAGGTATTTTCTGCCTTAGTATGTGGTACCAAGTATATCCGTAAGCCGTGAGGTAAGAGATTATCCATTTTTTAATTCTCCTTAAACGAGATAACTTGGCCAAGCAGCCACTGAGACTCTGAGTCGCTTAAGAGAGCCCTTGGTGACTTTGTCGAAATTCTCCCAATGAGAAGCGAGTGAGCGGGTGTGTCTAGGCCCTTTCTAGGTCCCTTTTCTTAGCGATACAACCCTGCTAAAATTTCTAGGACCTATTTGATCCCTAGCGCAGGGCTTAGATAGAGTACGGTTACCTCCTAGACTCTCTCACTAATGATATACCTGGTTAGACTGCTTGGTGGTACCTATCTGGTCCAGACACCATCACAACTCACAAGTCCACTTCCTCATTTTCTCAGACCTTTCCCTTGTCTAGTTTCAAGAAAACTCACTAGCCGGCCACTCGCTGACTGGTCGAACGAGGCCAAAATGAGCTAACTGTACACCGTGACCAGCCCGGTCTTTTCATCTTGTCCCCTATCTTGAAGTCCGTCCAATTACCACGCCAGGAAGGTATGCTAGTTTTGACCATGGCCACCCACAGAGGCATAGACCGAGCGGTTTATGCCACAAAAAGCTCGGAACTCCGTGAGTCAGTAGACACAGACCCCTTAGCAAAAGGCGAGAGCCTCAATCCGCCATTGTTTAGGCAGTGCCCATCTCTGGCGCAATGTGTTTTCACCTTAAAAAAAACATCAGAAGGGTGGCTTTTCCTTGATCAGATTTTCTATCCTTCCGTTTGACAATTTTTCTGAGTCTCGTTCCCTCGTTTGACCCTCTGGGAGCCCAGTCCCCAAGTACAGTCGAGATGATGGTACCTTCACACTCTTTTCTACTTGCATTTCTGTCACTCATTTTGCTTCAAACTTCTTGCGCCTTCGCTGCCCCGTGGATAGTCACCAAAGTGTACGAGCAAGATGTCTACACCGAGGATTACATCTACAGGACCACAACAAGGACTCGCATTGATGAAATCACGCCGACAGCATCACCGATGCCTGCTGCCCTTTCAACAACAACTTTTGTAACAAGCGACAGTTATGACGATGCTGTCACAGTTGTTCAAGTGCTGTATCCATCTGGTGCAGGGATCGAGTCGACCTACAAGTACTACAATTACCAAGACTCCAATATCATCACGCAGTACTATGTGGACATGGTACTCACAGCGCCAACATCCTGCTCTTCGCAGTGGACAGTGACCACTGCGGTTCCGGTCTATGTTCCCAACGCTATTGAAGACGCTTTGCTTGCGACGTCCATGTCAACGAGCTACTCCGTGGACGATAGCCAACCCTTTCAACCAACCACATACACCAGGGCTCTTGCATTCATTGATCCTACACAAGTGCCCGTATCGAGTCTGAGCAGGCTCAGTAACTCCTACCAGCACACCATGTACCGAGAGTACGGGTGCTATGACAGCAGCACCGATAGCGGTAGCAGCTACTCGTACTATGATGGTAGTGACGGCGGCAGCTGGCTCTACGACCGTTATTACTACGGGGGTATCTCTCCCCTTGGTATTCTGCTTGTCTGCCTTCTGGGATGGTTCGGAGTATGGCTCATCATCGGCCTCATCGAGAGTTGGTTTCAGTTTCGACGCTTGATGAGGGGTTGGCAGGCTCGCCGAGGATTCCCGATTTCGTGGTGCATGCTCGCTCCTATTGTCTCCTGTTTGCTCCTTCTGTTCTGCCGCAAAGGCTTTCAAGCTCGTACTTTCGAGGAGGCGCAGGTGCTTCAAGAGAAATGGCAGCAAATGGGATTCTGGAGGAAAGTCGGCCTGTGGCTTCGGTGGGGTTTCGGATTCAGTTATCCACCTATGCTGGGTCCCGCTCCAGTCAAGGTTGGAAGGCCCTCCAAGCGACCTGTTGCTGCCACCGCTCCTCTCCTTGGCGTATCCCCGCCACGTAGTGTCATGTCAGATGTCCATTCCGATTCGGGAAGCAATCGCGGAGACAGTGCTGCCCCTGGTCCAGCAATGGCCTATATTCCAACGCCAGGCCAGACGCTGCAAGTTCCACCTTCAATACCGCCAAACAGACAAGTCCGACAACAGCAGGCCCCCATTCAGCCCATACCTGAAGTTCCTTCAACGACTAGCGGCACTCTTCCCGCTGATCCTAGCACACATGCAACAGAAACGTCTAGTGAGCCGCGGACTTCATAGTTTGATATGTGTGACATGCTGTATTTTCTAGACGGGGAGTGAACAACGAATGTTCTGCTATCTGACGATCATGTCTTGCGAGCTAGACACATGACCTCTGGATAAAAGTCACTCTCACCTTCCCTTGCTGACATCCAAAATATCAAAGTCCCCTGTCAGGCTGCGACGGTCATTAGGACGTTACGTACAACGATATGTAATATATAATAATAAAAGAAGATACTTGGGAGCGTTGAGAAATACGTCCTTTCCGGATTAGAAAACGAGGGGAGTGAGAAGTATTACATTATTATTATTATTATTTCACAGGTGACCCATAAAGAGAAAGGCTGGAAATCGTTTATGTACATCCTGTTGAGCGTCGATAGATGAGTTCTGGCTGTACCTAGGTAGGCACGCTGTTAAACTTGGGTAGATTTCCCAATGATAGGAAGCCTTTGCCACATCCAATCACAGGGCCGGCTGGCCTAATGGTAAGGCGCTTGACTTCGGATCAAGAGATTGCAGGTTCGATCCCTGCGTCGGTCACATTTTTTTACTTCCTGGACGCGTCAACATAACTCATAGTGGTCGACCGTGTACAGTCAATAAAACAGCGACAAGATGAGAAGTTATTCATGGAATGTATAAATCTGGAAATGGCTGTTAAGCCACGAATGGGCTTTTTCTTCTCCATAAGACAAAGTATTCCTGGTCGACATATAGCGAAGCCGGGCTAGCTCAATCGGTAGAGCGTGAGACTCTTAATCTCAAGGTTGCGGGTTCGACCCCCGCGTTCGGCTTTTTTTTCGTTAGGTCATGGCCTCTTTTTGCGCTCTTTTTACCTGTATTGCTTTCAAGAAGGAATAGCACCTTCCTCTTTGTTTACCGCAAGTATTAATTAAGTTTGCACTACATTGCTGGCCTCCCCGGCGTGGCTGACCTGAATGGGGCTTGTGTGGACGCCAAAATCCCAGGCAACGGTAGACTACATAACTCCCTAATGGCAATTATGATGGGTGACTACTTTCGACAATAACAACAACTCACTGCAACTCACTGCATCCTATATCCTAGGACACGCGCTGTTTGTGACGGTGGACGAGCAATTGGAACCACCTTGACAGACTGCTCCATCGCTTGGTAAATAAGCCTATGGAATTTGGGAATTTGCTTGAAATGGTCTGAAACAAAGAATCGTGCCTCAGGAGGTAAGACAATGGACGGCACAGCCGATCCACCACAGTCGAACAGAACGCCGCATGGACGACAGGCTGCATGTTTGAATTGCCGAAGAAGCAAAATACGATGCAAGCGCAGCCGCGAGGGTACCTGCTGTGACAGATGCAAACAAGCAAATCTGGAATGTATCGTACCCAATCACCATCTTGGTAGACAAAAGGGTGTCAAGAAGTCAGAGTCACCGGACCCTATCCCTATTTCTATTACAATCATACATGCTTACATCCGCTTGTAGCAAACGCAAAGGACTGGACAAAGCGTTACACCAAATAGAGGAGGCGATTCAGCGCCCCAAGACTGATGCAGCAGGATCTGATGCTGCTCGGAAACTTATCTCAGACCTGCAAGATCTCCTTAGCAGGACACAAGGGCATTCTGCGCGGAGTGAGGTCGAGGAGACATCAGATGACCCTGACCGGTCACGGACGAGCTCTCCGCAAGGAGCCACTGCTGAGGACAATCTAGCCTTGGATGACGCGGAGAATCCATTGCAACTTCTCGCCAGAGCCTCTGACCTCCAGTTTTCGCCAGTTGAATGCCGTGACGCACCCATATTGTCCACTTCGTCTGTATCACAATCGTCTCTCAGACCGCATAGTACCCCCAACGAGGACTTGCCAATTGCCAGACATTTTTTCGTCCCAGTCAAGGCGAAGCTAGACCTCGGCCCGGACATGGACCCTATAGAACTGGGCCTGACTACTTTGCATGAGGCGGAATTACTTTTCTCTTTGTAAGTCAACCTATTAGACCCAAGATGTAATCTTGTCGGTGAACTCACAAATTCGACAATAGCTTCTACGAGAATTTGGCCCACACGAGGTGGGGTCTGGATCCGACTGTGCATACTGTGTCATTCGTGCGTTCGCAGTCTGCCTTTCTTTTCACTTCAATGCTGGCTGCAGCTGCTCGGTTTGACCCTTCTACAGCCGCCTTATCCAAAAGACTAACGAGGCACTGTACATCACTGGCTTATAAGGTCATTGCTCAGCGTTATCGATCAGTGGAAATTGTTTTGGCCTTCATGGTAAATGTTCCATGGATGGCCCCAGGGAGCAGTTCTGGCGATGATGACACATGCTCCTATATTGCAATGGCTTTGACTGTTGCGTTGGACCTTTCTCTCAACAAGATAGTGACGCCCTCAACTGGTTTTGATAGTACTCTCCAGAACAGGCTTGCGAAGGCTGACTGCATTGATGCAAAGAGAGCCTTACACATGGATGGATTCGAAGCTGTTGATCCGGCTTCGGAATGGGGCCGAAGATTGTTACGTAGACGCGAGAGGACTTGGATCGCGTTATTTGTCCTCGAGCGTGGGTAGGTGCTGAAGCTCATAGTCGAAGATATGCATACGGCGAGTTTGGCTAATCCATATATTGCAGTGTCTGTTTGGCCCGCGGACGAAGCTATACAGTTCCCCCAACTGCTCTCATCGAAAATTGTGACAGATGGCATATCTCTGATATTGCCGATTCTCGGGATGGGCCGATGAACTCCATGGCTGTTCTCCGGAGGAATCTAGTAAGACAACTCCTCGAAACGTCTTCGCATGCTTGGTTGCTTGCAGACAGCTAACATCATTCCACGGCAGGATGAACTCTTGAGAAAAGTAAAGTCGCGTTGCGACAGTTGCCGACTTGGGGACATCGGATCAGAAGCTGCTCAGTCGTACGGTCACTCCTCTCGACTTTATGGTTCTCGAAGAAGGCTCACTGACCTCTAGGATCAAGAAACTTATTGAAGACTTCTATGATCAATGGTATGCGGCTTGGGCTCTTGAGATTGGTGGACCCTGTAAGTTTATTTACAAAGCTTCATCACGAAGCAATTCCTTGCTAATATAACACGGAAAGCCCGCTGCCTTCCACCGTATGTTGAGATACTGGTAACACACACGCAACTGTCTACATATGGTGGCGTGATCAATCATCCCACAGCACCACTCGAAGTCAAGCGGTTTTTCCGCGCTGCTGGCCTCTCTTCTGCATTGAATGTCATGCGGGCAGCCATTCAAGGAGAATCGCGGCTAAAGACCATGCCCAACAATACAGTGATCATGATCGCCTTCGCCGCATGTTCTGCCCTTAGCCTCAGTGTGACGCCAGCGGACAGCAGGTCCATCTTGGCACCGAGTGTGCGACATCTGATTGAGGAAACGGCTGATGTCCTCGAACGGATTGGCGCCATCCCAGCTCACAGAGAAGGTGCATCTGTCTTGTATGGACGACTGCTACGAGAGCTTGTTAGACGTGCTCATGTGGGTTTTGTTTCCCAGAAACATATCGAATCAGCCCCGGTAGAGTCCTTACAGCCCTCCTCTACATTGAGCGATTACTGCCCCATACCTTCACTGACACAACCACCAATGAATCCCTCTACGCTATGGCCAGAGACGCTACAATTCTCCGCGATGTCTGACCACCAAATCATCGATGCAGTAAACAGGGCTGACTCGGCATTCGGCATGAATATTCCTGACGTCCCACTGGATGATCTGATGAATTGGGATTGGTTCGACTTTGCCAATGCAGCCGACCTGGGTTTCAACCAATAACACCAACACTGCAATCCACAGCAATACCTTAGGTACCGATTATCCTTTGCGCTGCAAAATATGAGTTGAGCGTGATTGTGAAGCGGTGGGTCTCGGCTTCCTGTCGGTGCCCAGAAGTAGCTCCGATTGCCGAACGGAGCGTCACTTTTCCATTTCCATGAGAGATGCCATAGTGCTCTCTCGATGTAGAGAACGTTTATTAGAAGATCTCAATCCAGATTCACCCAGTATACATGAGTCACGGCCCTGTTTTTCTATCCTAGGTGGCATACTTCTCTTATTGCTGACAAGGAATGGCGACTTTGCGGGGTTCAGCAATCGTATCTCCAACGCGGAGAACATATACTGTTACCCGTCCATGGTTACAGTTAGGGACATGTTATAAAGCGTGTGCGCGACCTGTTCTTCCAACAACAAACATTCGCCATGTGCGATATTCAACTGTTACTCCGCAGCAACAGACACATGCACCCAAGATCGAGCGTGGCGCTTCAAAACTATTCAGAGATGCAGATGAGGCTGTCAGTGACCTCAAGAGCGGATCTACAATCCTGAGCTCCGGATTTGGCCTTTGCGGTGTCGCAGGTAAATATCTTCCCACAAGAAGAAGCGTTCAACAGACAAATTGACATTACTCAGATACACTCCTATCGGCGATCAATCGTAGAGGAGTTGAAGATCTGCATTCCCTGACAGCCGTTTCAAACAACGCTGGCGCTCCTGGAAGAGGAGGACTTTCTACACTTACTCAAGCCGGACAAGTAGATCGGTTGATCCTATCCTATCTAGGGAACAACAAGGCTTTGGAGAAGAAGTATTTGACTGGGAAGATCGCTATTGAGCTATGTCCCCAAGGAACATTAGCCGAGCGATTACGTGCCGGAGGAGCTGGGATTCCGGCATTCTTCACTCCCACGGGAGCGCGTAAGTTTTCCTCAGTCGAAAGTCTTCATTCAATACATTGCATCTACAGTTCTGACTCTGCCTTATTTCGCAGACACGTTACTCCAAGCGGGAGAAATACCCGTCCGGCTAGATGAGTCTGGAAAAGTATTGGAGCGTGGCACCCCACGAGAGACGAGGATATTCAATGGCAAAACTTATTTGATGGAGACAGCCCTCACTGGTGATGTGGCTATACTTCGTGCCTGGAAAGCAGATGAGGCAGGAAACTGTGTTTTCAGGTAAGTCTGTTACTGCTCATGCATCAGTCAACTTGCTGAACAATGGAACTTCCTCCAGGTATACAACGAAGGCATTTGGTCCGGTCATGGCGAAAGCTGCCACTCTTACTATAGTGGAGGCGGAAAACATCGTTCCGGTCGGTTCCATTGACCCTAACGATGTCGACCTGCCGGGCATCTTTGTGGATCGAGTTGTTCCTGCTACGGCAGAGAAGCATATCGAAATCAAGAAATTACGGACTCCCGAAAATGAGGATGCGAGTAAGACCTCAAGCGACCCTGCCATGGTTCAGAGAAACCGCATTGCCCGGAGAGCAGCGAAAGAACTAAAGCAAGGATATTACGTTAATCTGGGTGTTGGTAAGTACGCTAGTCTTCTCGAGCCCCTCAAGCGCTGACACTCGTTCAGGAATTCCCACACTGGCTCCGTCATTCTTACCAGAAGGCATGAAAGTTTGGGTGCAGTCAGAAAATGGTATTTTGGGCATGGTGAGGTAGCCTTCGAAATTGGCCAAACAATATCAACTAATGGTTATGACTAGGGACCGTATCCCACTGAAGACGAAGTTGACCCGTAAGTTCTGTCCATTGGACATGGTGTATGCGTGAATTGACCAGCTTGCAGGGACATCATCAATGCTGGCAAAGAGACGGTCACCCTCATGCCAGGCGCAGCTACTTTCGATAGCACTGAATCGTTCGGCATGATTCGGGGCGGACATGTTGATGTGTCCATCCTTGGGGTGAGTGAAGAAGAGTATGCTTGTGAACAGATAGAGTGCAGGGCTAATGAGAAGCAGGCCCTGCAAGTGAGCGCCAATGGCGACCTAGCGAACTACATGATCCCCGGAAAGGTCTTCAAGGGAATGGGAGGAGCTATGGACTTGATCTCTAATCCAGACCAAACCAAGATCGTTGTCGCTACCAGTCATACAGCCAAGGATGGATCTCCCAAGGTCGTTGCGGAATGTAGCCTGCCTTTGACAGGCGCAAACTGCGTCAGTACAATCATCACGGAACTCGTAAGTCTATTGACCCGTATGCAACCTCAGACTCTATAGCCCGACTGACCGTGGCTGTTTAGTGTGTTTTCCAGGTTAATCGAAGCAAAGGGGAGCTTCTGCTGACGGAGCTCGCTCCAGGGGTAGAAGTTGAGGAAGTCCGAAGCAAGACAGGGGCGAACTTTGCTGTTGCAGAGCAATTAGAGATCATGGAATGAAATCGCTCAATCCCGAGATTGGGAATCGCACATGATCAATGCTGGCTGCCATGTAAGTAACACTTCGTGTAGACATCATGTATAGAATCTGAATCCAACCATTTTCTGGAATTTTGAAAAGGAAGCGGATGTTAGCACCATTTCCATCCTCCAGTAAGACTTGACAGGGTGACGTGCTTTGCACGGGATACACAAGGTCGATTCCGAGGAATTGAGCTGCTCCCTTTGTATATTGTCAATGCGAGGGAAGATGTCTCTATATACATATATACACCAAGGGTCATCCGAGTCTATCCACAACAACACCATTGTCACAGGGCATCTAATCACAACCTAGAAGTCCTGAGCGGCGCAAAATTTGATCCCGCGCCCTCGCTGATCGATTGAACAATATCATCCACGCTGGCCAGTATCCATGTATTACCCTCGTCACTTGCCAGCCACCGGGCACCTTGCTCAGTTTCAACATCATCAACCCACGATCCATCTTCGATTGCCTTTCGCAGACCAAACACATGCGATGTCACTTGCGGTCCCACACCAGACTGCGCACGCAAGCATGAAATCGCGACAATAGACGTCACAATGCGGCCAGCATTCGCGCTGGTAGTCCGCCCAGCGGGATCCGACAATAGGGCACCGTAATGGCTGTTCAAAATGTGAACGGGAAGATCAGGATGCGAATCCGCCAACTTGTTGACCAGTTTGGTTTCAAAGGGCCGGTAGATGGAGTCCCACAAGGCTCGGCCGCGCCTACCAATCTCATTGATATTCCGGGGGTCTGGGGCTCGAGTCGGAGTACGTGATAGTCTTTTGCTGACGGATTCGGGCAAGCTCGCTTTGAAAGCATTGAGGCAGTTGATCGTCCGCGGGATGCCGTTGAAACTGATGCATTTCAGCCCCACCTCGCGCATCAGCTCTGCTGTGGCTACGCTTTCGTCCTCTGTTTGGGCCGACGCAACCAATTGAAACAAGACCGCGAGGGAGTCAGGAGAATTCATGGTCATCGTGGCGGCTGTCTGTTGGTTGAAAATAACAGGATAAGTCAAAGCCATCTCAGGACAATTCATTCGCTGGGGAATTCATAAGGAGTGTGTGAGGAAGGGTTAACGAACCGACAAAGCCAGCCATGACGGTGAGGAAACATTGTTTGCTAGAGCGCTCTGTTGAATTTTCTGGTAGACGGAGCGTATATTGCGAGGGGCAGGGACAGTATTTGGCCGCGCATTCGGGGCGTTGATCAGAGCCTTGAGGCTGCTGGATAGTTTTGACATAACCTCTCAATTTCTTCAATCAGCGCCAATTGAGTAGCGTAGCTTGCACAATTGAAGAGAATTGAAGATCTTGGTCTTATGAGCGAGACATGCCATGATCTTGAATCGGCCATCTACCGGATCAAGCTGTTGATGATCCATGCCTCGGCGCCAAAACTGGACTCCGGGCGGTGTCGGTTGAGTCCGGCAATGCCAGCGGAAATAATACGTACGGAGTAATTACATGAGGTAATTTACCAGACTATAATCACGTGATCATCACAGAGCGAATCAGTATTCCCAAGACCCCAACGCCAAGCTTTTGAGCCCAAAACCAAGCAACCCAGGATTGTCTTGGGCCTGGGGAAGAAAATGCGGGGATACAAACAGACATGACAAAATCACTTTGTACATTCGGTATTTTCTCATCGGTTGCAGAAATGATGGCCGAAATTGGGGTGTTCCTCACGTCTTTCTGCCGATCTTCAATCGATATTAAACTCGAACCCCCTGCTATGATATACTATTCTGATGATCTCGCTTGCTTTCATTCTCATGCTCTCTCTACATTTTGCCCGTACATCTAGCCATGGATACAATGAAGCCTAGCCATGAGACATTGGAAGATGTTAAACATAAGTCACTAGATAACATGTCTTTTGATAGTGCCTACCAACAAAAGCTAACTCGGAGCATTCTTTTCAAGCTGGACACGAGGTAGGTCCGCATCCGACGTCTATGGCCAATAAATATCTAAATATCCTCCGATAGGATTCTTCCTGTTCTGGCTCTTCTTTTTCTATGCTCATTCCTTGACAGGTAAGGAAACAGAAAAGCTTCTTCATTTAGTACCAGACTGAAGATTGATCCAAACGCTTCTTTCAGGACAAACGTGGGAAACGCAAAGATTCTTGGTCTCCAAAATGATCTAAACATCACTGGTCATCAGTATGACATAGGCCTTACGGTCTTCTATCTCACATATATTTGCAGGTGAGAGTCAATGGCTGAAAGCTTCTGACTATGTTGCTGAGCGCGTGCCGATAGCGAGCTTCCGAGCAATCTGATAATCAAGAAGGCGTCACCTAAGATCTGGCTACCTACTCTCACAATGGTCTGGGGAATTATCACCATGTGCCTGGGCTTTGTGCGTAATTTTGCTGGCTTCGTTGCTGTCCGTGCCATACTCGGTGTAGCAGAGGGAGGACTGTTGCCTGGCATGGTATGTGAGGCTTATCCCGGATCCTTCTCTCTGATACCGGCTGGCTGTGTTCCAATGAGCGAGACTAAGACTCCGTCAGGTACTCTACCTGTCTTTCTTCTATAAACGTTCCGATTTAGCCCTTCGCATCGGCCTATTCTATACGGCGGCATCATTATCGGGGGCTTTTGGAGGTAAAACTTAACCTCCTTCCGTGTAATTCTTTCAGGGTGATTGCTGATGCAAAGTACTTCATTCTTGATAATAGGGCTTCTGGCTCGCGGATTGGCCGCCATTGGACCACGAGGTGGTCTTGAAGGATGGCGTTGGATTATGATCATTGAGGGTCTATTGGTAAGTCAACTCTTCGAGCAGAATATCTGTGCTATTTCTGATACCTTCCAGACTTTCGCATGCGGCGCTCTCAGTTACCTCTGTCTTCCCAACAGCATAGAAACGGCAGCTTTCTTGACAGTCGAGGAACGACAGTTCGCCCGTGAGAGAATGCGACTGGATAATCCATCTGTTCCAGAAGGGTATGTCGATGTTTTTACCAATCTTTAACCCAGAAGCCGCATGTCCTACTACTATCGAGTTTCAAATTTCGATCCCTGCTGATATCACCCAACAGATCTATTGAGGCTGAACATGAGGCCTTCAGGTGGTCGGAGGTTGTCCGAGGTGTACTGGACTTGAAAATGTGGCTGTCAGCAACAGCGTACTTCGCTATCTTGTCTGGGTTATACTCTTTTGGTCTTTTTGTCAGTCGACTCTTGACTGCCACCAAACAGATATCTTTGCTCACGACAGGAAAATAGCTACCTACCATCATTAAGGAAAGCGGCTTTGCGGACGATGCGAACAAGGTGCAGCTTTGGACTGTTATTCCGTACGCTGTCGCAGCTGTAATCACAGGTGAGCTCTTTGATCATCAATCAATCCAAGTTATACTCAGTCGCTGACCGCATGCCTTCCTCTTCTCCAGTCATTGTGGCTCTCATCTCAGACCAGTTGCAGCTTCGTGGTGTAATCATGCTCTTTATCCTCCCGATTGCGATTGCTGGTTACGGAGCAATTGCCAACATCGAGTCCGCCAAAGTCAAGTATGGGATGACCTTCCTCATGGCAACGGGCATGTACAGCAGTGTCCCGTGTATCCTGGTTTGGAATTCCAACAACTCCGCGGGGCATTACAAAAGGGCCACTACGTCGGCAATGCAGTTGGCAATTGCAAATTGTGGAGGGTTTGTAGCTAGTGAGACTTCGTTCCTCTTACTTGCTAAAGTTCCCAGACTGACATGCGTGTTTTCTACCAGCATTCAACTATCCCGACAAGGATAAGCCAGATTACCATCGAGGCCACACGATAGTTCTCGGCCTGCTTATATTCGCATGGGTTATGTAAGTGCAACAGCTCTGTCTATATCTATTTAGAGCCGTCCAACTGATGTTGTATTCAGGATCCTTTTGAATGTCTTATACTGCGCTAAAATCAATAGAGACAAGGCACAGGGCAAATATGCACAGTATACAGGATGTAACGATGATAGGGATCCACAATTCAAGATGGTCCTGTGAAGGAAGTTTATGCCTGCATGCTGCATTCAGTGAAGGCGAGTCTTTCAATCGCAGCTGATCCTTGGAAGATAATCTCTTCATACAAGAAATATGAAAATGTGATTATGACAATAAGAACTTCGTCAGGACGTTTGTCATCAACACTATGATCCCGGGAGTTCCCTGAGAGTTTTCATACGTACAGCCAATAGAAAGATGAATTGCGGTAGGATGATCTAGATACCACATTAAACTGCCCCCGTTGCATGTTGTCATTCGCAAATAACAGCCAGACTTAGGCTTCATATTCGCAACCAAACATCTAAGCGCTCTCTCCGGGCCGATCCGAAGCTATCTTTTGCGCACGCTCTCTCCCCGCAAAGCTTATCAGCATTCCGATATCATAGATTGCTTTCAGGATACCGGCAAGCGTGAAGGAAGCACCGAAAAGATTATGATCGGCCAGGACACCAGTGATGAGCGGGCCTAAGCTCTGACTGCAAGTCTTGACGACGTTGATGGCGCCCATGATTGCAGTGCGCTTTTCGGGCGGAAGAGCAGCGGCCAAGAAGGCACTGCGTGGGGCGACATCCATGCTCTGTGAACAGGCACGGAGGATCAAGAAGGTCAAGGCTGCCGGCAGGGCGGAGGGAACTGGGATGAGAGCCAGACAAATGGCGGACGGCAAATGGGTGAAGACCATGGTCTGTCATATAGTCAGAAACCTGAGAGGCAATGGAAGAATGCAATTGAAGGCGAAGAGCGAACCTTGACATTGCCGATGCGTTTGGCTATGGAGGATGCAACCAGCATGGATGCGGCGGAGATTAGGCTGGTGGTAAAGAAGATCGAGCCGAGCTCTCCCTCAGGCAGAGAGAACTTGCGCTTGAAGAAGTATGTCATCCAGGATCTGTGAAGCACGGTCAGTTCGATGTGTGCTGTCATCTTAGGGTGCCACTAATACGCACAATGAGGCCAAACCTGAGGCGAACGAGTCCAGACCAAACAAGACGAAGAGTGTGATGACTAAAGAGAGGAGATCGCTACTGCCGAGAAAAGAGAAGAGTGATTTCTTCTGGTTGTCCTCGTTGTTGGCTCTTTCGCCTAGGAGAGGCTGGGTTTCCGGACCATCAGCTGCTCGTTGCTGTTGAGAGGCAGTAGCACCATTCTTGTCCTTCTTGGCGGCTTCAACTTCGTGACTTAGGCAGATGGAAAGAAGAAACTTGACTGCACCGATCCCGGCATATGCGAAGAAGACAATCTGGCATGCATTGAGATATTGCCAACCTCTGGTAGTTTGCAATAGGTTGATGATCCACCCGCACACCATCATTCCGAGGGCGGTGCCTGCGGTGCCGATCAAAGAGTACCAGACGAAGATATCGCTGAGATGCTCTTTGGCAGTAAGATGAGCCAGAGTAGATTCCTCAACAGCTCGGAAAGGACCAATCTCATTACCACTGCGGAAGCCAATCGTGAACAAGATGGACAGACATCGTCTCAGAGCCGGGTCAAAACTCACCTAGGACTGATGACACCGAGCACTGCAGCAGTTAAGAGAATCCGGTAATTGTCAAATAGACCAAAGACGATACCACTGCAGGCCATGAGCGCAGAACCCAAAGCCAGGACTGCTCTGCGGCCCATTGCGTCTGCGAAGAGAGTAAGGAAAAAGCTGATTGCGACATCGCCGACCAGAGTCAAGGTCATAAATAAGCCAATGCGGTCATCTGAGATACCCAAGGCAGACAGGTATGAAGCTAATATCAGAGTTGAACCTCCATAGGCGAAGAGTCGGATGAAGCGCTGTGCACAGAGAACCTTGACGTCCAATGATGAATGCCATAGTGTCAGAAGGCCCAGTTCGCCGAGGACTTTTCTGTGCAGACCATTAAATCTGCCCGGAGCAGAGTCTGTGGACGCCATGTGAGCGGATCAGTCATTCAACTGGTCAGAGGTGGGAAAAGCGAATACCTTTCTTATCTTTCCGTCGCCAAGATGATCGTTTTCCTCATCCCAGACAAGCTAAAAAATAGGCAACCATCGCCGATCGCCCGCTTCCCTTTCCGGTTAAATCGGCCGAAATGGCTTGATCCTCCTGGAGAAACCAAACGACAACAACCATCTCAATAGGATATCCTATATTTCACACTTATCTGCATGTATCTGCATATAGGTCCAACTGTCTGGTTTTGTCCATCTTACTCATGTGTACCAAGCATCCGGTAGTCTCAACAATGGAAGGACTCTACGTCACTGAGGAATGTCAGTCCGAGACAATGACCATGGCGCCATAACAAGGCAAAAGATATAAATTGGCGCACCATATGGGTTGATCACAATGTCTCGAATGTAAGGGAATACTACAGCCATACAGTGACACTCCAACCATGAGAGATCGTCTGATTATAACGGCCATGGCCACTATGGCTTTTGCATCGGCTCAAGCATGCGACATCGTCCCTGCAGTCACGCATACATTCTATGGATTCCCCGACAATGATCCCCCCGGCCCTGCAATCGCCTACGATTGTGGTCGTGGCCTCACAGCCGGGGGTATCGGCACGTCCGACGATCCTCTGACCTTCGCCTCGGCCCCTGGCGAGTTCACGCAGTGCGAAGTCATCTTTTCCCCGTATCTACACAAGTACATCCGGTTCGAGGATCTTTGCTCTCAATGCGCAGATGAGTGGACCAGCTCTGGAATGCATCACATCGATATCTGGACGGGCAGTAACACCACCGACGGAGGCCAGGACCAGATCAACTGCGAAATGAGGCTGACCCCGGCCGGCGACTTGTCCATCGTGCGTAATCCCAGCATGGACCTGGCTGTTGATGGTATGTTGCCACTGCACTTACATTTGCCATCTTGAGCTGTGGTTGGTAACAATGACGACTTTAGACACTCCGCTCTTTGTCCCTGACGGCAACCCATCCTGCAATGTTGACCACGTTTTCCCTAATGAGAGTGCTGCAACCTTTTGTTAGATGATACTTATGAACACTCAGATTACTATTGACTGAACCGGTGTGGTAAAGTCTGGTGTAGACTGGTCATAATATGACTGTAAAATGTCACGTTGGTGTTATGTTTCTAGAACCTCAAAGTATCATCGTTTTACAGATGCCGCTCAAACAGATTCCACGCATTGTTTCTCCTTAGTCGCACGGAAGTCGATTCCTGTAGACATAGCTCCAAGTGGAAATGAACGAAACGCTAGTTTATAATACAGAAGCTTGTAATCAAGGAATAAACCCTGATAAAGGCAGTAAATGTCCAAATATTACATAGAAACGTCGTCATCACAGTGAAGGCGACGGAGCCGCTTTGTCTGACCTTGGCGGCCATTTAACACGCCGTTCGGCGCGAACATATAGGTTGGTCGGTCGAATCAGTTGGAACATGGGATCGTACTCGATATGCCCATCATTCTCCCTGGTGAACTTGTATCGGTACACCAGCTTGGGCAGGAAGACTTTAACTTCTTGCAAAGCAAAGTTGAAACCGATACACATGCGAGGACCAGTGGCGAAGGGAATATAGGCAGTCTTGTGTCTGTTCTTGACTTCCTCTGTGTCCCAGCGATCAGGATCGAACCGCGCAGGATTGCTCCACACGTCTGGGTTATTGTGAAGATGGTGCAGAGCGCCAATGACGACCGAGTCCTGTGGAAGCTTGTAGCCGCCAGGAAGAATCATATCTACCTTGGCGGTTCGCCCAGGCTGATACGAAGGATTATGCCGACGCTGGGTCTCCTTGATAAATTTGTCCATGAAGGTTAGGCGATCCGTCAAGTCCGCAGTAAGTTGCGTGTCGGCATCAATGCCATTGTCGATCAGCTCTTGCAGCAACCTCTCCTGCACCCCGGGGTAGGTGACGAGGCCGTAGATGAGCCATGATAATAATGAACTGGTGGTTGTAAAACCGGCTCCTGTTGCTACCACCAATGCCTGCATTAGACTGGTCTTGGGCAGCTTTTCGCCCTTGTTGTCGGTGGCTCGGAGAGCGTAGTCTAGAGAAATCAGCCAATGTATTCATCCAAGTTGTAAGAAGCTATCACGTACCAACCATGTTGGATGCTTTCAACGCCGCATCCTGTAGAGGGAGATCTTCAATGCCTCCGCGAGCAGCGTTTTGAATAGACTCATTGACCATATCGATGATACGCCCTCTGGCGTTTCTCAACCGTTGCGGGTCACCAAACGGTAACTTGGCATACCAATCGCCCCATGCAGTCACTTTCTTATTCAGCTCCAATGACTCCGCTATGCGGTAGACAAGTTCATGTGGAGGTGCATCGATAGACGAGAAGTGTTTGAAATCAATTCCGAGGACCAGCTTGCCAACGGCTTGTGACCCAAGCTTGAGCATGTACTGATAGACATTCCAGGCTTCCTCTTTCTCATCTAGGGCGTCAAAGACGTTGAACGCGTCTTCAACTGTTTCCTGCATCATGGGAGCATAATGACGCACGGCCTTGGGGCCAAGTGCTGGTGGCAGGAATTTATGTGCTGTCCTCCACTCTGGCGTATCAGTATCGCCCAAAAAGACACCGGCTTCCTGATTCTTGATCGGATGCAGAGGGTGCGCTGCATTGATCTTCTTCGTGAAGAAGTCTGTCTCGGCGAAAATAATTGATGAGAGCTGTGGATCATTGGTATGGTATACCGTGCGACCCATGTTGGTCGTCTTGAAGATCGGCCCATACTGTTCGAAAAGGCGCTGGTGATTGCCCAGATGGTCGGGATAGACTTCAAAGAAGTTGCCGATGAATGGAAGGCCCTTGGGGCCTGGTATCTCGCGCACCGCCTTCCCATCGATTGTGATGCTGATGATATCATCAGATGCGGCGATTTCGGGCACGTCATGTAGGATAGAATCCTGCGATAGGAATCCAATACCTGCGAAGGTCAGCTTATCTATATTGTGCTCTTGTGGGTTTCAGATGGTCCTTACCATTGGGCTCAACGATCGCGAAGTGCGCCGCAATCAGATGTCTTAGGTCTTCATATGTCGTCATTGACTCAAACTGGATCTCTTTTGCTGTCGAGATGGGTTCACCCAGAAGGTGAAAGAGCTTTGTTGTCGTCGACATCCTGTCACAAACTGATACGCAGACTCCACAGCAAAATGATTTGGAGGGATGGGATGTTGTCGGACACGAACCGAAAACCTGGATGGACGGCCATCCTCAGTCATTTATAGGGGGTATACGACTTTGCAAATCTATGCAAAAATGCCTCGAGATAAGATGCGAGTCGGATAAAAGCCGAACCTACAGCAAGGGGAACCAGAGCATCACTGCATAGTGTATCCACCTCATGTATAAGGGCCGTGTGCTAAGGATTCAACGGAATCGGCGAGTCCGTCTCGACAAGACCGATGCGATGAATTCGTCAGCGACGATATCCCAGAAGAGTACTATTTCAAGGAGTGCCTCGGCTGTTTGAAGCTTTGTGTTGTATTCTAAGATTAAATCCAACTCTAACTGAGCGATCGACAGCGAAGTCCCGCCACTAACCAGAGATTTCTGCTTATGCAGCCGGGACATGTACAAGTACAACAACACTCCCTACAATGGTGACAGACATCTAACGGCAATTGGAATAATCATCACGGAATCAATCTGCTTCACTTCGAGTGACTTAAGAGGCACCAGGATGCCGATGTTGTCCGTTTGCTATTTGGCAGATTGCAAGCGATGAACAGCGCGTTCATTGTGAGAAGCTACTCCGTATACCGTGTACAATTCGGTAACCCGACCGAGGCCCAACAAGGATTTCTTTTCCAGCATGGATCAAGGCGTGCCGAGCCAGAACCAGTCCAGCATTCGGGCCGATCTCTGACAAAAACAAACGCGAGAGCAAAAGTGTGTTTGTGCCGAGGTAAAAATGCCGATTCGAGAGAAAATTTCGTGCCGTGCGCTAGAATGGCAGGGGAAGTTGCGCCGGTGAAGGCAAACAAGAGTGGATACTAGAGATGAGATCGTATTAGGGTCCTCATTTCCGACTGAATGAATAATTTGTAGAAGGATTGTTAGTACGGAGTACTTGGTGTACACGAGCATAGAGCACGGATACAGAGTGGTTGCGCAAGAATAATGAATTTTATCCGTCTTTTCACTGGCCAATGCTTTCGCTCTTATGGTTGCTAATGTCAACATGGTTTATAAAATCCGTGAACTGCCTGCCTCCCCCAATCAACACTACTTACGTATGTTCACTTGAAGCCTTCCCTTTGACTCTTGATACCGTTAGCAATGGTCGTTTCAGCGATGGCAGATGCCAGCGGTGCTCAGAAAAGCCCTGCGGTTGATTTACCCGAGTACACATTGAAGGAAGTTGCACTGCATAACCGCAAAGACGACAATTGGATTGTGATCCACGGACAAGGTAAGTCGCATCCCCCCCAGGAGAGTGCAAACTTTGAAGCCTTCAGTTGCTAAGACTTGACAGTGTACGATGTGACAAAATACCAGAAAGATCATCCTGGCGGCGCAGATGTTCTGGTTGAAGTTGCCGGCTCAGATGCGACAGAAGCATTTGAAGACATCGGTCATTCAGAAGATTCGCGCGAAATTTTACAAGAATTCCTGATCGGAACCCTTCAGGGCGCGAAAGAATATGTCGCTCCGAAGAAAGTTCGCATCATCGCTCAGAGTTCCGTCGAGACTCCTGCTTCTTCATCAGCAACCCGATACGTAGGAGCGGTCACCAGTCTGCTGGGAGCAGTCGCCTCCTTGATCTATGTCTACCGTCGCGGTTCTCTGTACGCATTTGACACCACGGGGTCACTTTACAGATATCTCTCTCAGCGCTTAAGCGGGTTAAGGTTGCCGCAGGGAGGCTTCGCCAATGGTTTCCTCGCAGCTACTCTGATTTGTGCGGCAGCAGGTGGTGTTATCGCACGTAAAGCGGCCAAATTCACCAAGATCGAGTCGGGGTTCCTGCAGTATCTGCCGCATATTAAGGCACGCAAGGTGCCCAAGGTTGACCCGCACTTGCTTAAAGGGTTCCTTGACTCAAAGGAGTTTCAGCGCCTGCCGCTAATCCAGAAGGATCAGTTATCCTCAAACGTATACCGCTTCGTGTTTGGGTTACCGGATAGCAATGGAGTGATTGGTCTTCCCATCGGTCAGCACGTCGCCATTCGCGCTGTTATCGACGGTGCCACCGTGAGCCGGTCGTATACACCCGTTTCCAACAACCTAGACCGAGGAAGACTGGAATTAGTCGTGAAATGCTATCCGGACGGCATGCTCTCTGGGAAGTACCTAGCCAACCTGCAAGTGGGTGACGAGGTCGAGTTCAGAGGACCCAAAGGCGCGATGCGCTACAAACCAGGGTTCTGCAAGAAGCTGGGAATGGTAGCTGGCGGAACAGGAATCACACCTATGTACCAGCTGATCCGTGCTATCTGCGAGGACGAGCGTGATACGACGGAGATCAGCCTTATCTACGCCAATAGAACTGAGGCAGACATCTTACTGCGGGATGAACTCGAGCAGTTTGCCCGCAAATACCCCAAGAATTTCAAGCTGTGGTACATGCTTGACACTGCCCCGGAGAATTGGGCGTATGGAAGCGGATTCGTCAACCAGGAGGTCCTCAGCGAGCGGCTATTCGCGCCTTCGCCTGACACTAAGGTTCTCCTCTGCGGGCCTCCGGGCATGGTGAGCGCTACCAAGAAGACGCTGGCTGCGATTGGATTCCAGAAGCCAGGGCCAGTTTCGAAGATGACCGACCAGATTTTCTGCTTCTAATCTAATATTCTCGTTAGCAAGGAGAGGATATTGTATGATACAGTGGAATGTACTGCAATTGTTCATCTCGTGATGCGCCGAAGTATCTAGCCGCTTTTCCTTCCAGTAAAACAATTTGATACTATGTCTCTGGTAGACTCATCAGGCTTGCTTTGCGGATGCTGAAATAAACCAATTACTTCATTATGACAGACTAGATGATGCAATTAACATGTCCATAGCCTCGTCTCGGTTGGAGCCGGTGTAAGCATGGCTATGCCCGGGAAGGCCCCTGGAAGAACATAATGATTACCGAAAGTAGAAGATCCTTTTCACAAGGACACAATAGATGGGTATCATGGGCTACTGCTAGCAGTATGTGTCTATTCAAAGCAAAAACGCAAACCCAGCAAGTACGAGTAAAACGACAACAGCACGATTGACCGCCGTCCCAACAGGCAAGTTTCGGTCGCCCCAGCTGCCTTTGACCAACGTTCCACCCGCAGCACCGGGGCTATACATTGAGGTGCGGCGGTCAGGCAGAACCGGTCTCGCAGTTGCATTGAATGGAACCGGTTTGGGTGGAAGATCGTACTGATTGGCAGGAAGGATCCTCAGCTCGCCGGTAATGTCAACGTAGAGGTAGGCCGCCTGAAAGAACGGACGACCGAGGACAATCTCCTCAGTATCCTGCTCGAAGCTGCACCGGCTGCTGCTGTCGGTCAGGTTCCCGGGGATTCCAATCAAAATCGAACTAGAGACACTCGCGACTCGGTTCGGGAACATGTTGATTTCCAGCGTTATGTTGCGGCCGCACCAGTCCCGTGGTAGGATCAGCGTGTCGCTGGTCAGATCCAACCGAGCAGGATAGACGACGCTGGGTTCAGACTCGTCCGAGACCGAGAAGGGACCGGACCGTTTGACCATGGCATTGATGCTCGTGTTGGTGCCGCTCGGAATGGGATTATACTGCCAGATGCGTAGAATGACGGCGGAGAGGGTCTGCTTGCCGGTCTGCAGAAAGGTACCATTGTTGTTCATGGTCTCTGCGATGGAGATCCAGGATGTCGCATCATCGGTGAGACGATTGGCGTCGTAGAGCCCGCCTAGTGCGAGTGAACCATTCCATTCGCCTTTATGGCCGAGGTTTAAGCCAAAGGGGACTGTGCTGATGGGAGAATGCTCGTCGACACTGCTGGTGGTTACGGTCAGGTGAGAGTCGTTCCCCAGGTTGAGTATGTGATGGTTGTTCTGGGATACGGAGAGATTGACACGATTGCCGTTGAGGTCTCCTATGAACTGGGCGTCCACCAAAGGGTACTGTGTTCGGTTCAGCAGTTGGGTACCGTTTCCCTTATAATCATTGTCGCTATCGCCTTGCCCAAGAGATATGGTATACGCATTCACCGTGCCATTCCCACTCGTAACATTGGCACCCCAAGGCGTTGTAACATCCTTGGACAGTCCGACCAACGGGAGCACCCAGCGATCGGGGCTTGTGATCGGGACGGGCGTAGAGTCGGATGGTGGATAATAGATTTTAGTGGCTGGAACAATCACTGTTGTGGTTGCTGTTGGTTCATCATGCGCAGTACTGCGAGCCGGACTTGCGAGGATTTGCAAAAGGGAGACCAAAGCAGATTTGGTGGAGAAAGGATGCTGGCTCTTCCAAAAACTTCGCGTCATATTGTCATTGGATCGAGTCGCAATCTTTTAGATCTTGCCAGCATTACTAAGACAGGCAAATAGAAGCGAGAACAAATAGCAAGAAACAAGATCACAAACCGAAACGTCTCGATACACCCATTGTTATAATCAAAGAGAGTGAGGACAAACACAGCCTCAAGGCAGAACCAAGGCAGCACCGATCAGTTATAAATGAGTCTAAAACCAACATTGCTCCATGACCGAATCCCCTATTATGGATCTCACGACAGAAGTATCTGCATTGTTGGTCTCCGCTTGGCCGATGATCAGCGTTATGGTGCCCAGCTCTAGTTTATTGGCATGGACAAATTTGTCAGTCATATGCCAGTGGATTTGTTTCTGAGAATAATAGCCTGTAAACACGAACCTACTCTTATCTTTAACCTCCAAGCAGTCCTCTCAACATGATTATATGCATGCACACAGCCTGAGCGAGAGAGTGGCTTAGATGGGGCCATAACAGAGCGTATTAATAAGGCTACAAACACATGGACGATCTCTGTTTCATGTTAATGATTACAATAGTGGAGATTTCAATAACAGACTATGAAATGATCATTTAAGTGCTCTATACTCAGCCAAAAAGCAGTTGTTTTCTCGAGACTGATTTTGTGCTGGATTTTGTAGTCTGCGAAGACATAGATGGATATCCACTAACCTGTCATACCAGAATGCCCGTATATACTTTATGAATGCGAAGATGTTCTTACCTCCATTTGCTTTCCATTCATGACTTGCACTCTCCTTTGTCTGATTTGATTTATGAAAGGCGGTACAGCTGAAGGAGGATTTAAAGCTCATCAGCACCTTGAAGCGATAGCCTCTATACGATGGTTATGTGTTCTCTATGCCTGTTATTTGGATGCACCTAATTCAGACTCATTAGACGCCAAGAGTAACATTAGAGGATCTTCACACCATCTGGCTGTGATGACTAGGTAAGAGTGTACATAGTCTTGCCTTTTAAGCACAACTCCATTCTCATATTGATCTATGTCGAGGCAGAGTAATAGATATTAATGAAGATGAAGTCCATATGGGCCCTGCAGGGCTGAACGAATTGAATTGCATAATCCCAAGGCCTAGAGTAGGAGCGTGAAAGTGCAACTAATCCCCAGACAATTGAACATGATCAATCTCTTAAACAAGTGTAACAGTAGGATTATAATGTTGTATAGACTTAAAGTACCCCGTAGTCGGCACTTGCTTCAGACCCTGGTCGAAAGGAAATTAGACCAGGGCGCCAAGTACCTCCCCCTCACAAATTGCTCAATGTGATTGAACAGTCACGGGAGACTAGGACTCTCATGGGATTAGCTTGTCGCTTCGCGTTATCAATGGTTAATCGCTCTGCAGAACTTGAAATTGCCGAGTCATGCTGTCCCTCGAGGAGACTCGCCTCAGGTCATGTGGGGATAGTCACAGCTAAATGCGAGATCTATGCCAGGAACAGATAGCACATTCCTCTCTCGTCTTAGGCCGCTGTTCATGTAGATTGACCAAAAATCATCGAATCCAACCGGACACGCGTGATGATCTCTTTAGGTTCATCTTCATCTTCGAGCGAGCATCAAACAGGGCCATTGACCCCGCTCATCTTAAGCTGTCACTGTAACCCATGGTGCTGGAGGCCTCAACTCATACCGGAATGTTGATTGCGCTATGCGAACTGAGGACGTTACCGAGTAAATTGCGATCGTCCTCCGGTTGAGAGAATGAAACAGGTATAATAGCGTACTGAAACCGCCTCAATGGAGAATCGAACGCCCATGTAACCCAGCCAGGTCAAGTGGAGCTCGTCAGTTACAACTTCCATGCAATGAGCCTGGATTCTTCTGCTATTGAACGTCGCAGGCCTTGCTTTGCCGATAGTCTCAATGGGACTGAGACGTCAACAGTTGAGATGTAACCTGGAGGGAGTGTCCATTTTCAACATTCCCGAAGAGTTACCCTCAGAAACTTGGCGAGGACGAAAGGTATAAGAACAGGGGATTGATGGCAACGTTATGCATCACTTCACCAAGTCTCTCAAAGCATCCGATCGAAGACAAAAGAAATATCTCCTGGCAGCAACAATGATGCTCAGCAAAGTTGTGATGGGTCTGCTCACTGTCAGCCTGGCAGCAGCTCATATGGAAATGAGTTGGCCTTATCCTCTTCGCAGTCGCTTCGACCCACAGGTGCCTGAGGAGGATATCGACTATTCGATGACCAGTCCTCTGGACAGCGATGGTGCTTCACCCCTTAACCATTGTCACGATAAATCTGTGCATGTCTAACAGGAGACAGGTTCCAATTTCCCCTGCAAAGGATACCAGACCAATACTCCCTGGCGCGCAACCGCACAGTATACCGCCGGTCAGACATATAACATGACCATAACCGGCTCCGCAACCCATGGAGGTGGCTCTTGCCAGCTCTCTCTGAGCTACGACAATGGCAAGACATTCAAAGTCATTCAATCCATGGAAGGCGGATGTCCACTTGTGTCCAGGTATAACTTCAATATACCTAGGGACGTCGCTAACGGCCAAGCCCTCTTTGCTTGGACTTGGTACAATTTGATCGGCAACCGGGAGTTGTACATGAATTGCGCAGATGTGGTTATCAGCGGAGGTACTGGCAGTCCATCATCTTTTGAGAGTGCTTATCCGGATCTGTTCGTCGCGAATGTTGGTAATGGCTGTTCCACTGTCGAAGGACGGGAGACGGTCTTTGCCAACCCAGGTGATCAAGTCATTTATGGTGGTACAGTCACTCCATCAAGCCCTGCATTTCCTATTTGCCATTGAAGATGAAAGTATCGCCGGTTCAGGGTCGAGACCAGAGAAACATGTCATTGTACATAGTTGAATTTGCTGAATGCGAGGAATATCTACTCATCTGCATCCGCTTTGACCAGCTGCATAATAAATCTCCTGTTCTGGGTGTTGATTCCAGTCATAATTCTGCGCTGCTGGCACCACTCGGGGGTCAGAAATATCATTTCTATCATGGTCTCCACTGACCACCCTGACGAAATTAGATTGATGACGGCACATTAACAGAAGATTAATACCAAGCGGAGATCTGATTCGGCAATCCAGAAATCGGGCATCGGCAAGATCAGTCCCAACGACGTCAGATTCTGCCACAATGGCTTTATTGCTCTCCTGAACTTTTCCTGTTTCGGCTCAATACGATAGCCAAACCTAACCTGATCAGGAATGATGCGAGGAACACGTGCGCTGATCTCGATAAGCGATTTCAAGGGTTGACCAATCATGCATTGCTAAGCAACTCCGCTCCACCAACTGGCGGAGTATGAGAATTGACTCTTTGACCCTTCAGAGGTCGAGCAGCATGATCCCGACCCAGTTTCTTGAATTCCACTCTTTCAGTGTCTGCAAGCCAACCGCAAAAATGTTTATGAGAGAGCCGACGACGTCATTTCCTTTTGCGTGATCCATATCCTGTTATCCCATTCTAGCAACTCTACATCGCCACTTCGAAAACATATTTGACCAAGATGGTGTCCCCAGATATCTGTGACCAATTCGTTGCGACTTCAATCCACCAATCCCAGACTCTATTCCCAGTTTGCTTGTCAGACTTAAACAAGAAACATGCCTGACACAACAAGAAAGATAGTCTGTTTCTCAGGTACGCAAGCCCCAGCAATTCAGCACAAGCTTCGGGCCCTGTCGATCTTATACCTGTGTTTTATTACTATGACAACAGTAGGAGCGCTGATTGGTTGCTAATTCGGTGCTTTTCCCAGACTTTGATGGCACCATATTTATGCAAGACACTGGCCATATTCTCTTCGACAATCTGGGATGCGGCACGAAGCGCCGCCAAATGCTGGATGAACAGATCAAAACCGGCGAGCGGTCTTTCCGTGATGTGTCTGAGGAGATGTGGGGATCTCTACGAGTCCCCTTTGAAGACGGGTTTGAGGTTATGGAAAAGGAACTCGAGATCGACACTGGATTCCAGGGGTTTCACAAGTTCTGCATTGCCAACGGCATCGATTTCAACGTGATCAGCGCAGGACTGAAACCCATCTTGCGCAGAGTGCTGGAGACGTTTTTGGGAGAGCAGGCAGTAAGTCATACCCATCTATCCGCTGATTGAATGATGTCGCTGATCGATCAGTGAAGTCGTCAATCCAGATTGTTGCAAATGACGCCGATATCAAATCGGACGGTTCGGAATGGAAACCGATCTGGAGACATGACACCGAGCTGGGTCATGACAAGGCCCTTTCGGTCCAGGAAGGTCGCGCCGAGGCCGCCAAGTATTGCATTGATGGCCAGATTCCCCTGATCGTTTTCATTGGCGATGGTGTGTCCGATCTTCCTGCTGCCCGTGAAGCCGATGTCCTCTTCGCGCGCAAGGGCCTTCGCCTCGAGGAGTATTGCAAGGAAAACAACATTTCGTACATTCCTTTTGAGACGTTCACCGACATCAAGCGGGAGATGGAGTCGATCATGAAAGAAGACCAGGAAAAGACCAAAGGCCAGGGAACTCCAGCTCGGTTCAACCCACGTGCCAACATGTGGAGAAGGGTTTCCAGCCAGCAATCCGTACGTCCAAAGCCTTTCCACACTTTGTACCGTCTGCTAACTGTCTGGATCAGGTTCCTCAGTTCATCGCCGCCACTCCTTCGAAGGAAGAGAAGATGTTTCTCTGGCCGGAAGACTTTACGGAGTACCGCCCCAGGGGAATTCCGGAGGACGTTTACGCTTAAGGATTTTATGGGAGCTCAATGGAGGAGAGAGACATTACATGATGCGGGCGTCATGGTAGCAACTCGAGAGAAAAAGATGAGAAACATAGATTGGATATCCCCATGATGATTTGTATCTAGATTTGAACCTTTATATATGGATATGCTTTTGTATATACCCAAAGAAAAACAATCTAATGCAAATTTCATCGCAAAGCTGCTTGTTCAGTAATACTTCCCGTCTACAAGCGATTGCCCAGGTCCACCGGCTTGTGCATGGCCGTCTGATCTGGTGTCTGGATTGAACGCAGCAAAGACTCTATTTTGGTGTAGTCTCAGAAAGTCAAAAGCCAATGACTGAACTATTAAACTCCTCGAAAAGGTTTGGTGCACGGCCGGTACGCCAGCTCGGAAGCCATGGAAATGATAGAGTCGTAGGTTTCGGGATGTAGCCAGCCGATGGCGATTCACTGTTTTCGGTTATTGGCCACGATGGAGCAAAAATGGGACATGGTTAGGATCTGGACCTTGGGCTGGTTCAACCATTCAAGCTTCATTTGGCCACTGGTATAGAAAGTTTATCGCTGATTGCGTTGATCATGCAGCAATAACCTGGCTAAAGCAACACTCACTGCGCAATGGCACCGGTTCTGGCTGGATGAACAAACAGCGAGACGTTATGGATTCAAACTGATGATTCACAGCTTCACAGGCGTAAATCTCAACATCAGCTTCCGTCCCTTGGGCAATGAAATAAAAGCGTAGTCCTGCTCAATGCCTTCATCATCGACGATAGAAGTGGTATAGTTGGTGTAAACTGCAGCCATGACAAGTTTGATCTCTTCAACGGGCAGCAGATTCAGTCAGCTTGCACTCTCAAGCATGCTGCGAGGAAAGGAGGAGAGCGGAAGGGCGCCGTACCTTGCAAAGCAAAATTACTACCCAGACACATTCTCCCTCCACTTCCAAACGGCCAAAAGAGTCTCCGCATATCGTGAATTTTTCCAGGTCCTGGGTCTAGCCAGCGCTCTGGCAGCCACTCGAAAGGCTGAGGGTAGACCCCGCTGATTCGGTGCAGAGTATATGAGGACGAACTAACTTTGACTCCACCGGGGATGCGATCGTATCCTTCAATTGCTATACCTTCTGGTGACGAGGGGGTGACTCTCGGTAACGGAGCAGGCGCAGGCGAGTGCACTCGGAGTGTTTCTCTGACGATGGCGTCCAGCAAAGGGAGAGAGTCGATAGCGGCTGGCGATGGTAGAAGTGGGAGGCTGTCATTACTCAACTCCACAAATGGATATCTCAAAGATGGCGATAAGGTGAGCAGCTCTTGACGAAGTTTAGCCTGCAGCTGAGGTCGCTTCGAGAGCTCCCACATCATATATACGAAGGTGATTCCCGAGGTCTCGTGTCCAGCAACGAGATGATCGAGAAGTTCCGATGCAAGTGCCAGATCTAGAGGTCGTTGATCTGGATGCTTCTCCAGACTCTGGCGGAGCTGACTATACACCACCGGGTTTGTGGCCACCGGCACGTCGTTAGGATGCTCGTTGCTTTGCATTCTGCTGCAGAGAGACAGACACCAGCTTTCAATGAAGCCCAAATACCGCTCTTTCACGCTCAAGTACTTGAATCTTTCGTACTCCACCAGCCACCTTTCCCATCCCGGGAGATCGAAAAGAAAAGTCGTGCTGTTGGCCGTGCCAAACAGAAAGGCAGACGTAAAATCCATCCCCACAGCCTGGAACAGCGGCAAGACATTGATCGCCTCTCCTTTCTCCGCAACCCTTTTCAAAATAGGGAGAAGCCTCTGCGAAAGAATAATTGACGAAATATTGCGAAGATCCACCGACTCGTGCAGATATGACTTGGAGTAAATCTTGCTCAGCATTCGCTTCTGCCGCGCATGAGAACCGTTGGGTAACATGCCCACAAGATTATCCGTCAGGAAATTGACAAATGCATCGCGGTAGAAAGAATGTTTCTCGAATGCACCGGTATAGATGACATGGAGCCCCCCGAGTGAATTGACGCTCAGCTCATTGGGTCCCAGGCGCACGACAGGCCCATGCTCGCGATGAAGGTCGTAGATGGTCAGTACCTCCTCCCCAGACCGCCGCTTTCTTTCAATCCAATAGTCCGAGATAGGTGCTGTGAAATGCGCATTGGGGATTTTCGAAAGGGGTGAGAGGAAGTATGGACAAATTAAGAATTTATAGAGAAGCAGCACCAAGAAACTGCTGACGGCGACAATGGTGAGGAGGAACATCTTCAATCTGCATGTAGACAAAGGCACGTAGTTTAGCAAGGGATCAACGCATATTTAAGAATAGCCCGTCCCCTCCTTGTGTAACTCTTAATATGCCGATCATCGGTGAGACTGGGAAGCAAGGGACTGTTAGCGTGGTATCACTGCATATTATGTACACGCCGTCGACACGAGGCTCGATCGCCAAACTCACGTCTGAATAGAGTCATTTGACAAGTCAGTTCACCCTCTGCATGAATCACGTCCGACCTTCCTATTTGAGGTCTGGCGAGTCGGAGGTGTGAGGTAACGGTGCGAAGCGGGTAGGAAGAGAGGAGCAAACACAATCACGCGCTAAAGATGTCGGACTGGGATCATGCGTCTTGGACTATTGCTGGTATCGAACGCCGTCTGACTCCACTTATCCTAGGGTATTTTTATATCGTTGACCCCGCAAGCTTAATTGCTACTTACGGTGATGTTATTGTCAAATGTCATATTGAGTTGTGCATTATGATAGTATCGTAATTTAATGCAAACGAAGAGATCCTCTGGTCTGCTCTGATATTTGTAGAGAGACAACACAGGAAATGAAGAAATGCAGGCTGTCCTCTTCAGAACGACGCCCAAAGAGATACAGCCAAAGCACCATGGCAATGGTATCCTGCAACCCCCAGCACTTTCTTGAGAGGCGAAGCAAAATTGGTTCGACCAGATATTTACCCGTTCCAGCTGCGAGAGCTCTTAAACTTTCATGTAATCCAGCCTCAGTAATATGCCTGCTCCGCGGATCCAAGCGTCGACTGTATATTGGCTAACGCCTACTCGGCGATAAGGCCGCGCTTCTCCTTGCGTCCCATGAAGCTGAAATACCAGGTGGGCTCGCCGTGCGATATGCGGCAGCGCCTGTCATAGGACTCCTCCCATTGGTTATGAAACCAATAGTCTTGGTCTTTATTTCCCTCGACCCGAAGATCCTTCGTACGATTCATGCAGTCGAGGCATAGACCATCAAAATAGCTGGAGACCCGCGCGATCGCCTTGCGGACGATGGTCTTTCCGTCAAGCCAGCACACAGGACACGGGCCTTGACGCGATTTATTACCCGAAGTATCATTCGAAGAGAGGGCTTGAGAGCGAGTGTTTGTCTCATCATATTGTCGCAGTCGGTCAAGCATTTGAGCAACACTTGCTTTAGTGCTGCTCAGGTCCAGCGGCGAGACGTCAATGCGTCGCAGTTCCTTTAGAAAATCAAAGATGGTTTGCTCTTTGCAGTCGCATGTTGCGCGATCAATAATATCATTGACGCGCTTGAACAAAGCCTGGTGTAGAATCGTGCGAAGGCGACCTTTCGCGGCATTCAACTGTTCTGCGAGGTACTTTCATCAGCACGAAGATTCCAACCTTGATCTGACACTAGAGCGCGGGTTGAACCACATGGCAAAGACTGCTAGAGACTTACGGATAATTCGAGGGCGCAGGTGCATCTGCAGATGATGCGTGGGGTTAACTTCCATGATATGTCGAGGCTCGTTGTAAGTCATGAATTTAGTCAACTCCTGAAAGCCCACAGCGTAGTCGAAGGCATAGCAAGGGAAGAGCAATTGCGGCGCAAATTCCTTGAAGAACGTCTTCCCACTCTCATTCCTCATCTCCTTGTACCAAGCGACGAACCAACTCTTTGATACTTGGAGATCGAAGCCGTACTTGTCCCCAGCCATGATAGAGTGCCAAACTTCTTCGACCGAGATAGACTGCTTGGGCAAAGCGTCGATTGTGGAATGGAACACACGGAGCCAGAGCTCCATACTTCGAACAGTGTCTTCATTTAGAACGACACTGTCGTCTTTGGGACCCTGTGCCCAGCGGCCATCCAACATGGTTTTAAAATACTGACTGCGTCCCAGGAGAATGACCTTTTGAACCTTGAGGGACGCTGTTCGAATAAGGCCATTGGCCCCCGCCTTGTCAGCATCGTCACCGGAGCGTTCGTCTCGCCTGATCGCTGGGTCGAACTCGTTAATGTGGATGGTGAAGTCACCCGCGACTGAGACTTCAATGACTTCATGTGGAACTTGTGCGTCACTGAAAGGGACAGCCATAATCTCTGATTGCAATTGTCAGCCTTTGATGCTCTTTCTAATGTCACGCCATCACTCATTGTTGCCGAGGGAGTGTTCATGAGCCACAGGCCTTGGTCTTCTATCTCGAACTCACTAGAGCAAACAGCAACCTCAAGTCGATTGACAGCGGACCTCTATCGAATCCAGTAGATAGGTGGTGCTATGGAGGTGGTTGAAGGTTGAAATCAAGTGAAGAGAAAGATGTTGCCGAAGATCAAGAGCTTCAGTCGAGTGAAATAAAGACGTTGTCAAAGTCAAGAACTTGGGATAGATTGAAGAGAAGATATTGTCAGACATCAAAAGCGAACAATTCAGAGCGGCTGCGAAGTGTTGGTCCATCATGTCCTAGCAGAGCAAACAATATCTGTGGGGCCTGCATCAGTGTGCTTTGTTTGCCATCCTAGCTTAGAATAGAAGTGACCTTAAGATCTAGATTTATTGAGAGGCATAATGAAGAAATTCTTAGTTGAGAACTATTGAATCAGTGATCGCTGAGAGAAATCCGAGGCCAGAGGGAGATAGATGATACCACGCCTGCCGGAACCGATTTCTCAGCTGTGGATAGCCTGCCCATGAGAGCACACAGTTTTTCGTCAAGGACTACATATTAAGTTGTACGCTAGATGAGGAGGCCTTGAGTCTTACTCTGACATCCTGACAGAACCATATGCATATCTGGAGCGGAGCTACTAGATTCTAGGTCCAGCTCAAATGAAAGCGAGTCCACAGAGAATTGTGACTGAGGATGCCTTCTTTTGCCCAAGTAGAGGCCAAAAGATTCCACCGAGAGCTCTTTTGTTCACATATTATGGGAGTACCACCATGACAATTTGACTTACACTTCAGATACTGGGTCAGGTGCGGATCGAACTGGAGCCACTTTCCAACCACGTGCGACTCTAGTAGTTAGCGCCCGTCCTTCGTCTTATTACCAGCAAAACCCCTTTATAAGCAACTCTGATATAAGGAAAACCTCGGATATAGCAACTAATCTTGGTATCTGAATTAAATTCCCATAATAATTTGCTTAATACTCCAATATACAGTTTTTGCTTCCAAAAATTATTTCTCCCATACAAAATTCCTTATATCAGGATGTTTTTCTACATGTGTATACCACTGCCTAGCTATCCTAGACTACTTTGAACAGTATTTTTACAGGCTAATACAGTGGTAAATTACAGCCATCTCTACAGAGTACCTCTCGAAGGCTCTTATATGGTATTTATATAGTATCTTACATAGTATAAAAGGGTAATTTTAGGGAGGAAACTCAGGGAACACTATCTGAGTAATTTCTAGTAGTGTTCAGGTAGAGAAATATATATTCCAGTGTCGATTTGCTAAAGAATCTAGTAACGTAATTCCCGGCCAAGCGAGACACCCAAACCCATTAGAAAATTTCAAAATCGATTATCTCAACCAACACCTATGAATTTAGCTAAATATAGCGATTTTTACATGAATTGATCCTGTGGCCAATCTCCCTACACCCACTACACCTAGGCGGAGCCCTCTTCGCCGGTTAATCTGCCTGAATAGGCAATTCACCCTGCCCATGCGATTCTACCGCAGGTGCTTCTGCTGGCAAATCTGGCTGTACAACTAGCTGTAGACCCTCTTCAATGGTTAAACCCTCTTCGCAGGGTATCTGCCTAGTTGACTGACTGCGCTTCTTCACCACCTTCTCATTTGCTGCGCGTAGATTCGCATTTTCTTGCGCTAGTAGCGCGGTGTTATGTAGCGCTATACAGTGGCCCTTGATAATCTGATCTAGTATGGTTTTTGATGGGCTCGGAGGGCTATTTGACCGCTGTTTCAGTAGGTTTTTGAGCATAGAAGCTTGCTTCTCTAGCTGAATCACAGTTCTGGGTGTTTTTAGTGTGAATTGGCTAGACCTGCTATTTGGCCGGCTGCTTGGTGGTGTAGGCGTTTGTAGAGAGATATTAAGCTTTAAAAGCACTCTTTCTGCATCAACTGGTACTAGGCCACTAGCTGCAAAGCTATTCTGAATAATAGCTGGCTGTTGGAAGGCCTCTAGCCGCGCACATTGGTAGTTATCCAAGAAATCCAA